CTAAGTTCTGGAGGTGCTTGACAAATTGTGAAGTTCTGTATAAATGTTAATGATCATCACCATTATTAGCCTAAATTAATTCATAGACATCCTGCTTTTCTACTAAGTTGGAAGGAAACTGAACTATTAATGGACTAATAGTTGTGAGAAGGCACTTTGAAAAAAATTCTGCTAATCTAGAGGGACAGCTCAACAGGAAAGACCACAGTCCCCATTTACTGAAGCTCACAGAAGGGGGGAAGAAGGGAATAGGCAAAATTTAAGCCACATCCTCATCAACATTTATTGCTTTTTGGCCAGTGGTGTATCTTGAATAAAGGTCCGTTTACGTCCTTTACCCACTTTTTGATTGAGTTGTGTATTTATGAGTTGTAAATTTTTTTAAAAGATTTTATTTATTTATTTTTAGACAGAAGAACGGAGGGAGGAAGAAGGAGACAAGCATCAATGTGTGGTTGCCTCTCATGCACCCCCTGCTGGGGACCTGGCCCACAACCCAGGCATGTGCCTTGACTAGGAATCGAACCCATGACCTTTTGGTTCTCCAGCCAGTGCTCAATCCACTGAGCCACACCAGCCAGGGCAGTTGTAATTTTTTTTTTATGTATTCTGGATACAAGTTCCCTATCAGATATATGATTTGCAAATATTTTCTTACATTCTGTAAGTTGTCTTTCACTTTCTTTGATGGTGTTCCTTTTTGATTTTGGTGAAGTCCTGTTATTTATTTATTTAACCCTCTCCCCCTTTGGTTGCTTATGTTTTGGGTGTCTTATCTAAAAAATCACTTCCTACTCCAAGGTCACAAAGACTTACTCCTGTGTTTTCCTCTAAGAGTTTTATAGTTTTCACTCTTACATTTAGGCATTTGGTCCATTTTAAATTAATGTTTGTGTATAGTATAAGGTAGGCATCCAACTTTATTCTTTTTCATGTAGATAACCAGTTTTCACCTATTATTTATGGAGTTCTCACTCTATGCCAGGTCTTATTCTACATTGTGGGGAAATAGGTAAATAAAACACGGCTGTTACCTCTCACAGAGCCTACCCTCATCATGGGGGATTACATATAAATAGAGAACAACAACATGGTGAAATAATGTGTGTATGATACTTAGCACTGGCCCCTAGAGTGTGTACAGCAAATGGTAGCTGCTACAATAATCGTAATATTTATCATTGTACATATTATAAATGCCAATGGAGAGGTATGTCAAAGCTCACTGGCAGGAGGGAGTGGCTGACTTTTCCCTGTCTCAAGATTGGCTTCGTTTGGAGCCGCCCCCATCACTCCTGGGGTCCAGGAAGAGCAGGGATACAGAGAGATAGGCCTCCCAAAGGCCAACCTTTTTAACAGAGGAAGGACCTTAGGTATGTATGTCATGGAAATATCTGGTTTTCTTGTCCCTGTGAAAGTCAGCTCAGAATAGGCTGTGGGATTGCTGTTTCCTGTCCCAGTCCGTACCCCCGAGAATGACTATCTTCATTGGTTTGTAGACCTCTACAGGCACTTGAGGGAATCATAAAGGCTGATTGTGGATTATAAAATGTTTCTAAATAGATTATACAAATATACTTTCTTGATATCATATAATTACGACTTAAAATCTCTATTCCTTGGTGACCATATAGTGTGTCCTCAAATTGATCTTATAAAGTACAGACCAATGGATTTTCACATGGACATTACAGTATTTTGTGTGAAACATCATAAAATGTTAATTCATATGAACTAATCTCTTAATGGCAGGAAGTATGGCTGTAGTACCTATATTCTAGGCTCCACATTACAAAAATTATCCAATTATAGAAAATGATTTCAAGAAATCACTTTTTCAAGTTTTTTTTCATTATGGTAGCATTTGTTTTGTCATCTGCTAGCACATGTTAGCAGAAAAGTGTGAATAGGTACTGTAAATGTTAGAACGCTGTGTTGGGGGAAAAATTTAAATTGAGCATATTCTAATAATCAACATAATCTAAGTTGAGCTACAAAACCCTTCAATTCAGTTAAATAGGGTGCAGTTGTTTCAAAGAAGGATAATTTTAGAACCACTGAAACATAGTTTAAATTTTAATTAATTTAAACACATTGTACTTTATTAAAAAGTAAAAGCTTTAGTGTCTGGTTTTAATGTCGTATATTATATCCACTACAGATTTTTATTATGTTTTAGTTCAGTTCATCAGGCACTTGCTGGCTGCCTGTTATATGGAAAGTGCCCTATCTGAGTCTGTGTCCTGATGGAGCCTATGATCTGAGGAAAAAACATGGTCCAGTGGAGGACACGCGCATTGCTAGTTACAGGAAACAGCAAACTGTGATAAATACGCTAATGGAGTTATCAAGGGCTTAGAAACACCAGCAAGGAGAGGTTAGTTCAGGTTCAGAACGGGGAAGATCCGGGAGAGCTTTCTTGAGGAACTGGCATGTGAGTGGTAACTTGAAGGGCCAGTGGAGATGCAATGAGAGAATGAAACTGTGTGTGTGAGTGAAGACTTAGAAAGTGGACATGCTGAAAGTTGAGGAAGTGGAGATAACCTGGGACACCTGGACTATGGAATGATTAGGGAATGTAGCAGGGCATGTAGTTAGAAAGATAGGGAAGAGCCACATTTTGCAGTCTTGATAATACCACACTCATGAGTCTGGCTTTGATTCTCTGCACACTTGGGAGCCATAGAGGGTTTCTGAGCAGGGCAGTGGCATGATCAGATCAGTTTGGGAGAAAGTTAAAGGATAGGTTGAAGGTGGAGAAGAAATTACAGACCACTATTGAGTTATAAAAATACCATCTTTCAATAAAAATCCCAATAGGTAGCTTCCTTGTGATTAGAAGTATTTGAAGTTAATGTATTTAAATTGCAATGACCAAGCAAAAGCTTATAAAAAGTAACACTGATAAAGCATGAACTTCCTTTTTTTTTTTTTTTTTTAAGAATAACATCCTAGTCAATACCCTAGATTTTCTCAGGTATCTCCTAGACAAGGAAAAGAACCACCCAGATTTTCATTTTAGAAATAGGACCAGGAAATGTGTTTATCAGAAGATGAAAACAAACCAAGATCAAGCAGGACTATTACATAAAACTGGACCCCTTGGTTAGGACTGAACCCAGTTACCTGGGTTTACAGTCCAGCTCTGCCATTTGTGAGCGGCTGTGTAACTTGAGGGATTTTACTAAACCATTCTGTGCCTCAGTTCTTTGATCTGTAAAATGGACATTATAATAGTACTCAGCTCAGGGTTGCTATGAGAATTAAATGAATCATTACATGTAAGGTGCTCTGAATAGTGCCTGGCACATAGTTAGAGCTCAATAAATGTTAATCATTATTATTCAGTTGGTTCGGCAATAATAATGAACTGCCTATGACATGTTACAATTTACAAAGTGCTTTCACACATACCCTAGGTCATTTGAGCTCCACATCACCTTATGAGTACCATTTTATTATGCTCACAGACTCTGTGAATCAGGAATTTGGAAAAGGTACAGCAGGAATTGCTTATCTCTGCCTTGCAATGTCTATGCCAGCAGCTGAAGACAACTTGAGTGAGCTTGGAGGACTCAAGAGGATAGAGCTATCTCAACTGAGATTGCAGATCCACTGCCTTCTTTACTAACTTGGCTGGCACTTTGATGGGATGGCTGGAAGGCTGGGCTTAGCTGGGAATGTCATGTAGTACCTGCATGTGGCTTCTCCATCATGGTGACCTAGAAGCCTCAGAAGTCTCATTGCAGACACTTCCCTGTTCTCTATTGGTTAAAATCCTCAGAAGGTTGACTACTCATTCCTAACTCAAGAGATGGGGATAGACACCACACTCTCTGTGGGAAGCCTATCAGAGAATTTGGGGGAATGTTTTAAAGTCACCATACTGGTATGTTTCCCTTATTCTAGGTGAGAAGATTGAGACTCATAGAGATCAAATGGTTTGACAAGGGCCCGTTGCACAGATAGTAACTGAGATACTTAGTGGGTAGGGGATGGGTGTAGTTTGGAGGAGGAAAAGCCTTCTAACCTAATTCTCCTGACTCCAACTTTTTGGTCTTTCAATTAGACTATTCATATTCAATTAGGTATACCGTTGACCACTGAACAACACGGGCTTAAGTTTCATGGGTCCACTAACATGCGGATTTTTTCAATAAACAAAGTTTGGCCCATGGTTTTCGCATTTGCAAATTGAACCAACTGCAGCTCAAAAACAGTATTTTCGCATTCCCAGTACTATTTCAATCCACAGTTGGTTGAATCCATGGGTGCCAAGGACTGGCTGTAGAGTCAGAAGTATATGCAGATTTTCAACTGCGCAGGGGTCAGTGCCCCAACCCCTACATTGTCAAAGGTTCAACTGTACTTGCTAATTGTGAAAAGAAAAAGAAAAAAAATTTAACTGACTTTGTATACAGGGTGGGCAAAAGTAGGTTTACAGTTATGAATGTGTGAAACAATTAATAAAGCTGTTGCAATAATCATAACTTGCATGTCTTTTTCCAAACGTAGGACAGTAAAACTAATTTTGCCAACCCCGCATATTAGGTTACTTTCATAAACAGAAACAAAGATGTAAAAATATAATGTTTGCATCCTGGCTGGTGAAGCTCAGTGGACTGAGTGCCGGCCTGTGAACTCAAAGGTTGGCAGTTCGATTCCCAGTCAGGGCACATGCTTGGATTACGGGCCAGGTTCCCAGTTGGGGGCTTGTGAGAAGCAACCAACTGATTTATTTATTGCACATTGATGTTCCTCTCCCTCTCTTTCTCCTTTCTTTTCCCCTCTCTCTAAAAATAAATAAATAAAGTCTTTAAAAATATATATGTACGGTTTGCATTTATATAAGTTTGTATACAAACTTCATATTTTAAGGAGGTCAAGGGATAAGTTCAGTCTTGAGATTTAGTCAGAAAGCAACTTTGTATAATTTTATGATAAGGAAGGGTCTCTGAAAATGTCCCAGATGCTTAACTGTGACTTCACTTGTTCTCTAGGAAAATCTCACTTGGCCATTGTCCAACGGGTGAATAATGAGGGAGAAGGGGACCCTTTCTATGAGGTGATGGGCATTGTCACACTGGAAGACATCATAGAGGAGATCATCAAGTCAGAGATCTTGGATGAAACTGACCTCTATAGTAAGTGCATGGCCTTGGCTATTGTCGAAGGTCATCTTATTTTCCTCTGTGACTCTCAGAGCTGGCTCAGTTTGATACACAATGAGAAGGAGTGTCATGCCAAACCCATGCATTGCTGTGTTAACCCCCTAATGCCAAGTGCGGGCATGGCAAGGTACCCTGGCTTGAATTACCCAAGTCCCTGAGAACATGCTGGGTCAGTGATTTTCAACCTTTTTCATCTCAAGGCACGTTAATTGCTAAACTAATTACTAAAAATCTGCAACACACCAAGAAATACATTTTTTGCCAATCTGACCAAAAAATAGGTATAATTTTGGTTCATTCACATCAGACAGCTGTTGGTGTGTTGGCTGTTATCATTTTTTTATTTGACAATAAAGGAAAAGAGGTTGGTGCCCCTGAATAAATAGTCGAGAATTGCATGTTTTAAAAATTCTTGTGGCACACCACTCGAAAATCACTTTTCTAGCTAAATATTTATCAGGAGAGAACCTTCAAGAACCAAGACTGTGAAAAGGAGACCTCCTGGCCTTTGAATGAAAAAGGAAATAAAGGAAACAAAGTATACCTTTGATGGCCACTCTGCCCTTGTTTCTGTCCCCTGTGTTGTTCTCATTTTGACTCTGTCCACCTAGACGCAGACCCCAACACACCCTGGGGTTCCACTCAACAGTCTACTCCCACCAAAGCATGTGCAGCGGAGGCTGTCCTGAGATTTGCACTGCAACTGAAACCAAACCTTAAATGTCCCTTCTTACACATTTGTCTTCTCTCTTTGGCTTTTTCAGCCCTATCACTTGGTTTCCCCTACTCCTCCCTTCCCCATGCCTGGCTCCTATCCCTGATTCTGTCCCTGCTCCCTTCTTTCTGGTCTCTTCACCCTCCTACCCGTTCCCCCTCAGGAACAGTGTGGACTCCTCCATGCAGATAGTGACCGCTTTTAGTTACTGAACCTTATCAAAGCTTTGCTTGTTAATGTCACAGACAGCAGGCAGAGCTTTGTCTCTGGGATGGGAGTGTTACTTAAATCCATGGAAGTCCTTAGGCCAGGAAGTGTTCCCTCTGAATCTCACCTCATGGTATAGCAATCCCTCCTTCTCCCCACCAGTAACCCATTCCAGACCCCTGTCCTTAGTTTGTAGAAGCAGCCATTCTAAAACTAGCTCCCAGTAGAAAAAGCTTTGATACTATAAGACAGTGAGCAGTGCAGAAAGAGTGCCCCCACTTTGGACTAAGAATAGATGTAAGCTGAAAGGTGGCCCCGTCTTGACAGAACATACCAGGTGTGTCAGAGTATCTAGTATGTCTGTGATGTCAGGCCAGGCTTATCCTCTTCAAAAAGGGACTGACCTCTTCCTTCCCAATTCCCTTCTCCCTTCTCCACCTGTGCCCCCTACTCTCGATTTAGAATTTGCAAGTGTCTCCATAGGTATATTGGTGAAGACATTCACACTAAAGTGTTAGTGGCTGATAGTAGGGATAGTCATCTAAATGAGTAAGCTTCTCCTAAGGCATTTGTTTTAGCAACCGTAATGCTCCAAACACTCACTATTAAAATAAAAGGAATGAAGAAGGAGGTCAAAGAAATGATTCTCCATGATGAAATGTTTAGTGGCATTCTGAGAGAGGAGGAGAGGGATATTTAGGTAAATATCATGCAAGTCAGAACTTTGGTCACTAGTGAGGACAAAAGAACCGGCATAGCCCTGGTAGGGTGGTTCAGTTGTTTGGAGCATCATCCCATACAACAAAAGGTTGCGGGTTCAATCCCCAGTCAGGGCACATCCCTAGGTTGTACATTTGGTCCCCAGTTAGGTCATGTATAGGAGGCAGCCAATTGATGTTTCTCTCTCATATCAATGTTTCTTGCTCTCTTTCTCTCTTTTTCTCTCTTTCTCTCCCTTCCTCTCTTTAAAATCAATAAACATATCCCCAGGAGACTTTTAAAAAAGACTGGCCTAAACAAATACTTGCTACTCTCTTGCTGAGCAATTGATTCTCTTTCTAAACGAGAAGGTTAGGGTTTTCTTGCCCTTGGAAATAATCTTCTGGCACGCTTCCTAAGAGCTGTAGAAGTCCGAGGAGCCAGGAGTGTACTGACTGCGTTGCTTCTCACTTGACCCTGACCCACAGGAAAGATGGGTCTGGATCTCACCACTGTTTCAACCTGAGAAAAGGGAGTGTTAAAGCAGGACCCCAAGTCTAAGGCAGGCCACAGAGAGCAGCAGAGTGGAAGGACATTTCTCCCTTCTAGAAGGAAACCCAGCCATTATGGCTGAGATGAGCACCAAAAGAAGGGGGAGAGTCCAGAGAGCCAGATTTTGAGCCCTAGTTCCCTGTCCCTGGGCTACATTCCCTTTAATTTCCGTGGGTTCCACTCGGCTGCACTCACAGTTCCCCACAGTCCTGTTTTTCTCTAGGCCAAGCTTGGAGAAAATCCAGACCTCTTTTTCCTGCTCTCCTTAGCACAGGTGAGATAGACTGGAAGTTTCCAAATTTCACTGAAAACTAAGAGAAAGTGAAATAGAAATGGTTAAATAAAACATTTTATTTCTCCCCCGAAAAATATTTTTTCAATAAAACTTAAAAAAAGAAAGAAGGGAGAAAAAAAATTGGATAAAGCAAATTTTCTCAAACAATGATCACAGGCTCTCTGAGGTTCCTCCTGGTCCTGCTCAGAGAACCTGCCTGTTTAGGTTATAGGGCTGTTCCCATTTCCTCTCCTTTCTTCTTTCCTTTATTCCCCCCAATTCTCTCCCCCGGAGACGAGGGGCCAAAGTTAAACCAGGAGAATTGTGAGTGGGAAGAGGAGGTGACCACCCGCCTCCTTTGGGTGACATGCCTCGGGTTCTGCTCAGAGCATGGTCAAAATGAGCAGGAAGAGACCAGGTGAGTCAAGCTCTGGGGACAGAAACAAGGCAGAGGCAGAAACCCCCTGGGACCCCAAACCCCTTGATACTGAAGATGCACATCCCTGATGTTTGAATGCCTTTGCTTCAGTGCTTCACAGAGTTTCTGGTTGGAGGCTCATAACATCAATGACTGCATGAGATGGGCAGATGAGTTATAAATTATTAACCTCATTGTATAGATTAAAAGAAACAAACATTCTGATGCTTAGAGAGGTTGCACAGTCGTAAGTAGGGGAGCCAGCTCTAGAACCCTGACCTTGGCAGTCACAGGCCAGCCTCCCCCGCTTTCCACCATGCAGCAAACACAGAGCTGATTATAGCACCCCTCCCCCCACCTTCTATCCCTTATCAACATCCTTCCACTCCCTGAGAGAGGTATTGTAATGTCGCCTACAGTTGACACTTTGCAGAAATTCAGGTAGTCTCAGAGGATCTGTCTGTCTTGTAAAACTCTGGGAAAACCTCCAAAAACCAACGGTGATTCTGAGATAGCTGCAATCTGTCCCCTGTGATCCGCAGCTGACAATCGGAAAAAGCAGAGGGTGCCACACCGGGAGAGGAAACGGCATGACTTCTCCTTGTTTAAACTTTCCGACTCGGAGATGAGGGTGAAGATCTCCCCCCAGCTTCTGCTGGCCACACACCGCTTCATGGCCACAGGTATGACTCTGCCCACCTGCGTCTCCACCCCAGGCAGGTAAAGCAGAATCTGGAGGCACCAGTCATTTTTAATATCTTGTGGCCTAATTCCAATGTGAGGCTGAGAACCACTGTTCCAAGAGAGGCGATTGCCTTAGGTCGGGTGACAGGATGCCGCATACGGTCCCCCCGGGCCTGATCTTGTGTGGAGAGAGTGAATACAACTCAGCTCTGCTTGTCTCTCTTTTCAAGAAAAAAGCTAAAGAAACTGCTGCTATACTTTTTCCTTCCTCCACTCGCTTGCTGTTGGGAGACAGAGGCCAGCCTCCATCCTGTTGGAGTTGGAGTGCCCAGAGGGTTTGTGGGGGAAGGAGAGGCATCAGCCTACCCAGCAACAAGGCCCTGGAGTCCTGTACCCTCCAGAGCCCATATAGGCCTAGGATATACAAGTTCTTAAAATAGAGAAGTGGACTGTGAATCTTGGCTCTGTAGAAAACACACAGTGTGAGGATCGAAAGATAAACTTGCGAAGAAGGTAAAGTTTGTCTTTAAACCCTCTGACCTTCTCACCCATGCCTGATATGCTGACCTAGACTGATCGTACCCATTATGAAGTTCAGTATTTAATTAATCCAGTGTATGATTTTTGAGTATAAAGTGAGTACTAGTACTGTTCTGGATGTTAAAAAACAGAAAAGTTTATGTTGTAGTTCTCTAGAGTTTTCAACATGTCTAATTCTGAATACAGATTTCTTTTAACTACTGACTGATTTACTAGAGCAAAGCAGCTGTATCTTTTAATATAATAATATAATGTGATATAACAATATCTATTAATATATAAATTTGATGCAAGGATGCTCCACGTTATAGAGCACATATCACTTAAATAATTACCATTTTTGTTAACTTGAAATTTCGTATCAGTCAAGGATACACCTGTGAAACCATCACCACAATCTATGCCATAAATGTACCCATCACCTCCAAAAGTTTCCTCCTGCCCTCTTTATTTATTATTATTTTTGTGTGTTAACATAAAATCAACCCTCTGAGCAAATTTTTAAGTATACAATGCAGTATTGTTCACTGTAGGCATTATGCTGCGCAGTGGATCTCTAGGATTCATTCATCTGACAACCCCAAGACTTTGTACCCTCTGACCGCTGCTCCCCTGGTTCCCCCTCCCGCTAGCCAACGCAACCACCCTTTCACCCTCTGCTTCTATGAGTTTGATTGTTTTAGATTCATTATCTAAGTGTTACCATGCAATGTTTGGCCTTCTGTGCCTGGCCTATTTCACTTAGCATAATGTCCTCCAGTTTCTTCCATGTTGTTACAAATGGCAAGATGGCCTTCTTTTTTAAGTCCATATGCAACTTTAAATAAAGTCAAGTAGAAAATTAATTGCAAAGCTGACGTTTGCAAACTGGTGACCTCTTTTTCCTGAGGTGCCAGTGCAGGGACATGCGTCCCCGGGAGGCATGAGGAAGGCCTGAGACACACACTTGGCTTTAAGACCCCCTACCCAGGGAGTCACAGGAGGAGCCTTTCCAGCTGGGGGCCCAGAGCACAGATGGAGGCTGGCTCTAGACACATGCCCTGGTTGTGCCCACTCTGACTTTCACCAGCTGTCAATTCCTCCTGACTCCCACTCTCCTCTAGAAGTGGAGCCCTTTAAGTCTCTGTACCTTTCGGAGAAAATCCTACTCCGGCTCCTGAAACATCCCAACGTGATCCAGGAGCTGAAGTTTGATGAGAAGAACAAGAAAGCCCCGGAACACTACCTCTACCAGCGCAACCGCCCCGTGGACTATTTTGTGCTGCTTCTCCAGGTGAGTGGGAAAGTTAGAGGCCCTCTAGGGGCAAGACAAGGGCATCCCTAGGTTGGAGAGGAATGGCCATGCCTCCCCAGTTCCAGATTCCAAGGTTCACCTGGCTGCCTTGGGGACAAGGCCGGTGGGGGTGGGGGGTTTTCAGTGACCCACAGAAGGAGCCCAATATGACTGGTTGGTGTCCTGGGAGGGGTGGGATCTTGATGACATTTAGTCTGACCACTCAGGGGGATGTTTGTAGTAGGGTGTAGTGGGTACCTCTCCAGCAGACGGATTTTGTGACTGAACTGCCAAACCTGCTGTCCTACAGAATCCCTAATACTTTCTTGTCTCTGCTTGGACATGCCCAGAAGTGGAAGTGTCCTGTGCCTTCTCCCAGACTTCAGACCCTTCCTATTTCAGGCTTTTCCCTCTGTCTGTCTGAAAGCTCATCATCTCTGTCTTTCGCCCACTCGTCCTCTCTCTGCTCCCAGGAGGTGCACAGAACACATCCATTCTCTCTGAAACATCTCAGCCTTTGCAGTCCCTTGACTCTTCTCCTTAAGAGAACCAGGAAGGACACTAATAACTGAGTGAAAGAGGTGCAGCATTGTCCCAGTACTCACATAAGTACAATCGCTTTCTGCCCTGCATGCCTGGATAGGCCTGGAAATGAGTGGCAGGCATAGTCCCAGCACTGGATACTGCTGGCTCCACCCTTCGCTCTATCACTGCTCTATCTCTTCCCAGTAGAATCTTATGAACCCTAAATACAGTGATTGTCTTAAATTCTTAAACTCATGATAACTGGCAAGCAGCCTCTATTTTGTCACTGTCCACCTGCAGTGTCTGCTCTGACACGATAGTGTGCCTCACGCCCATCCTTCCAAATAGCCTCAATAAAGTGACCCCTCTTCTACAAAAATGGAGCCGCATGCTTCACTGTTGGAAATCAAGAACGGTTCTGTCACATTTTTTAAATATCATAATGAGCCTCTATATTCTACTGTCTTATGCTTAATATAAACTTAACTGTTTTCAAATCAAAGTTGGAGGAAGTAAAATGTGAGTGGCAGGAGTGTAAATTCAGAAATTAGATCTGGCTTTAAAATTCCTATATTGCCACTCCCTAACTAATCTTGACCGAGTTGTGTAACCTCTCTGAGACTCAAAACCGATTCACCTGGAAACTGAGGGTGAAAGCGGCATGGGCCTCGCAGGTCATTACATGCCGTGCATGTAACGCAGTGTCAGGCCCATAGACATACATTACATGCTACTCATAAGCTGCATGGTGATAAATTTAAACAAGCTTCACACAGTCAGATTTTATCTCAACCAGATTTAAAGATGGTCTTATCCCAGACCAAACCATTGAGACAGTTTATAAGGCCCTGGGCCAGCTGGCGCCTGGACCTGCATCATAGAAGGGCCATTACATTATACAAGGAGAGCTTGCTTAGGGTTATTCATGGCTGGATGCAGCTTGGTGAACTAAGCACTTCATTTACTGCAAAGGGCTACTGAATTTGGAGGTGCTATTTCTGAAACATAAACCTGGACAGTATTCACGTTTTGCTCTGAGAAGATGTTAAGTCCACTTGTTATCCAGACAGAAGTGTAGGGTTGTTGTTAATAGTAGAACTGGAAGTGTGTGTACACACCCTTAGTACACTTCCTTCTTTCTCCAGGGGAAAGTGGAGGTGGAAGTTGGTAAGGAAGGCCTTCGCTTCGAGAATGGAGCCTTCACCTACTATGGTGTCCCAGCCATCATGACCGCTTCTTGCTCAGGTATTCCAGTTCCCAAGCCGCAGCTGGTTGGGAGAGCAATGGGCTGTTGTAGAAAAAAGCATTTGGGTTCAATCAAGTCTTGACTCCCATTAGAGACCATGGACAAGCCCTTTTATTTCTTGGGCTTTAATGTCCTCCAGCATAAAGTAGGAATTAGACTCATTTTTCTTTTCTTTTTTCTTTTTTTAAGATTTTATTTATTTTTAGAGGGGAAGAGAGGGAGAGAAACATCAGTGTGTGATTGCCTCTCGTACAACTCCTACTGGGAACCTGGCCCGCAACCCAGGCATGTGCCCTGACTGGGAATTGATCCAGTGACCCTTTGCTTCACAGGCTGGCACCCAATCCACTGAGCCACACCAGTGAGGGCTAGACTCATTTTTCATTCAGAGACTTTGTGGAAGTTCATGGTAGTTGATAATGTTATCAAGTGTTAGGGATGGATAGTGTTTTTTTTTTAGTATGAAGAAACAAGTTTATTTTTCTTTTTATACTTCCATTAGATTGTCTGGGGTTTTTTTTTTAATTGATTTTAGAGAAAGAGAGAAGAAGTGAGAGAGAGAGAGAGAGAGAAAGGCATTGATTTGTTGTTCCACTTATTTATGCATTCATTGGTTGATTTTTGTATCTGCCCTGATGGGGATCAAACCTGCAACTTTGGCATATCAGGACGACACTCCAACCAACTGAACTACCTGGCCAGGGCCTAAATTGCCTGGGTTTTTTTTTCAGGGTTCATCAGTGCTGGGGGTGGGATGGAAGAAGGAGAATACCCATAATAAGGTGTACTTTCTGAACTGCCTCTCAAACACATTGCATCCTTCTGTCCTTAGATAATGATGTGCGGAAGGTGGGAAGTCTGGCTGGATCGTCTGTCTTTCGTATGTATTTCTCAAACCCCTCCCTCGTCCTCCCCATCGTAGTCCTGCCTCAGCCCACTCTGGGGACCTGGACCGAGCACTCTGAGCCTGGGTTGGGGCTAACACAAATGCTGGCAGCCCCTCTGTAATGCTCTGCCAAGAACACTGCTTCCCGCCAGGTACCCACAGACCACAGGGGCTTTGTTTCTGTGTCTGGAATGTTTTTTGCTGCTTCTCTGCTCATGTACAAGTGAGAATGGCGGGGAGGGAGGTTGTGAGGGGCAGCACCATTATTGTCCCCTGCCAGGAAATGCAGGTGATTTATGTGCTCTGGTGAAGGTTCAGCCTTTCCTTCTCTGCTATGATAATTCACCCACTGGCCTTTACTTGAAAACCTAATATACTGTTATTGTTTCAGTGGGGTTAGTAGGAAGTGACTGCAAGATCTTGGGATGTACAAGTGTAAGTCACAGGCTGGTGCAATATGTTGCTTATTTGCTTCTCTTTCCTTGTTTGCCACATCTCAGTTGGTGGAGAGGTGTCTGCCAGCTGGCCATGCATGCTGATGGTGGGGGCTGACACAGGGCTGCTGGCTGGTTTGCTCTGCCCCTTCTGCGCTTTACCTACTTGCTGTTTCCTGCATCAAATTATGGCACTTGTGTTTAAAAGGCATGGCATTTATTGTGATGTAAGTGTGATCCAGGAAGAATTATTTCTCTAGAATTTTTTTTGACTCACTGGTCTGACTTTTACATTGCATTCAGCTGTATTGTTTACAGTGCCTATTTTAATGTTAGATGGGGTCCTTTCTCTTATCATAAAAATATTTTACATAGCATTTTATATTGGATTTCTCAGAGGGCCCCAGAGCTTGATATCAGGCCCTGGCACATGAAAGATAGGTACTGTTTTAACACAGAGAAACTAAAGAAATGACTTGCTCCAAATTGCCCAGCAAGCTGGTGACTTTCATAGATGCATTCTTCTGTCCTGACTAGTAGACACAGAACAATGAAATACAGATTTGAGCTCTGCCATGTTCCAGAATGCTATTTCTGTGTGGGACTATTGGAACAATTTATAGTATAACATCTACCCCAGTAGAGGGCTGAAATGAAATTGGAGTAGCTGCCCATACCCAAGGAGTAGCCCAACATGAGTTGAAGGAGATCTGAAAAATAAAAAACCCTGGTATTGATACATTAGTATACTTACAGAAACCAACAAATCTCCAGTAAGGTTGACGGAAGAAGCATCAGTACTTGGAATGAGAACTCTGGGTGGGTGAGGGATATGTTCCAGGGCCAGGCAAACCTTGGTTCCCTAAAGATTTCCACCCATCACATTGGTCAAGGGAGAGTAACTTGTGGGGTTCGGAATCTTACCTAGACATGTTGGCCTTGTTCCGAGTCGTCCAGAAGACCAAAAGAGGTGGGAACTCTAGGGTAAAATGGTTTCATAAGGCTCCCCAGCCCACCTAATTTAGATGACCATCTTTTAAAAAAAAAATTTTTAAAGTAGTAGGAAAATGCCTGTTTTCCGCCTTTCCTTTCTGTCTCTAATTTTTTCTCTCAGAATCCTTCCATTTTATTAGTGAAACGGGAGTCAACTTGTAACACTGATCTCTCCTTCAAAACTGGTTAACCTAAAGGAAGCATTACACTCTTTCCCTCCCGCAACTTCTGAGCATCTTTAGAAATCTTCAGGAGGAAAAAAAAATTGAATTACTCTGTAGGGGTATGGAGACATTTACCATCCTCCCCCGACGCCTTCCCCACTTAGTAAAGTATGAAATAACTGCAAAGAATGCCACACCCTCTGGTTGTCCCTGCTGAAGTTTCAGCCCAGAGTCCAGCCACCCAGCATCTTTCACTGGCCAAGAACTTTGGCCTAAGCCACAAGGCAGTAAACTCTTTTAGGGTCTCACTCTAGCAAACTGCCCCTGTCCTTGAAGCCAGCCCATAGTCCTATCAGCCTTTGAAGGTGATAAATGGTATGACCAGTTTGCCAGCGAACTAGCCTTGTAATCAATGCTTCAGAGTTGAACTTGAGGTTACAAGTAAGTCACTCTGGCTTTCCTGTGCGGAGCAAAGGGAACACAGCCAGCACTGTCTCCTTTATCTTGGTTCTGATTGCCAGGGAACCAAGAAGATCATGGTGAGCCTGGCGTTGGAGGAACTGGGCCTGAGCTCGGTGTAGCCAGAAAAGTAGCTCACAAGGCTGTGCAGGTAGAAAGAACAAGTCTCCTATTGCTTGTCAGGGTATACATTTAATTTGCAGCCCAGAAGTGCCAAGATTCTTCTTAAAACTATGGGGTTTCCTATTCCAGTGTGTCTCACATCATTAAGGGCCTGTTCTAGTATTCTTCAATATTTCCTGTCAGAGTAAAGGGTATTAAGCTCCCGACACACACACTCCCTTGCATGTATGGGTCCTTTCAGTAAAGTCATCTGATGTGGCAAATAAGACCACAAAACTGCCTACTTCAGTGTGCCATCACCTGCAGACTGGCTTCATATAGCTCCTCGGAAGGGACTCGAAATGATCATGTAAGAAAGATGAAGACAGGTGCCCATGCAGAAACACTGCTTGATCAGGGTCAGGATTGAGGAAGGACTGGAGTATTACTATGCACCCCACCCAGGCCCCAAGGGATGGCCAGTGCCATTTTGGACCCTGTGGGGAAAGAGAGAGATGGAAAAAGGAGCAGGAAGAGAGGTGTCCTCGAACACCTGTTCTTGCTAAGAAGTGACTATGAGTTATTTCACCAAGTTGATTCACGTTAAGATTGCTGGAAATGCTGCCTGCCCTTTGCGTTTCCCAAGCCTCCAGCAACGCATAGTTCCTCCATGGCACTGTGACCACAGAGGGAGCCCCTAGGAGTCCCAGGCAGGGTACAGCTTCTTCAAGGATGCCCCTAGCAGGGGCATGCACTTTGTTTTCAGCCCTCCGGTTGGCGAGCAGGTATGTGTGGCAGCTGGGAGAGCCTCGTGGGAATGCAGTGCTGGGCTCCCAGCAGATTGGCCAGCTCAAAAAGAAGGCTGCTGCGAATGCCTGTTCTTGTCCTTGGCAGGTTTGATTGCCTTTAAAATTACTATGCATCTTTTTGGAAGACCTTCAGAAAAGTCTATTTTCTTTTCCTCTTCCGGGAGAGTGCTTTGTAAGAGGGAGCGGTTTCCAAGTTTTCAGAGGCACGATTCCCTTTACAGAGAAATGTGATGCTGTGAAGATTGGGGAACAGACTGTCTCACCACACTCTTTGTCTCTCTCCTTTTGTGTTTATCTTCCCCTTCGCAACTCACAAATCCTTGGCTCTTGACTCTTTAGTGCCCGTCTCTGTGTCTCATACCTTCGCCTTCAGCAGAGGGGACTCTCTGGCAGGCTCCCCAGGTAAACATGCATGGGTGTCTTGGGTCTCCATAGATCCAGTGGGGTTTGCAAGAGGACTGTGGTCTCTGACTCTCCTGCATACGAACAGTCTCTCCCAGAAGGCATTCCCATGCCTAAGGCATAGCACAATGCACAGATAACACTCATTTGCACATAGGGCTCAGGCATTGCTGGTTCAGTGGTGTCACTTGTAAATTTAGCTCCCAAGGCTGGACCTCTGTATGTAAATGGAGAAATAAAGGGGTGAGAGATGTTGTGAGCTCTTCCTCCTCATTTGTCTGAATGGAGGGAAGGGGAGTGCAGCAGGAGAAAAATAGGAAGAAACAATGGTGTACTATGCTTTATTCCTATTTTTTTCTCCACCTTTCTTTCAATGTGGCCTCTGCCTTTAGCTAACCACTTACCCATCCTCATTATCTTCCTAGTAATATTACCATGTGGTGACCATATTCCCTCCGGCTCTGTTCACACAAAGGATGCTCTATGTAAAATTTCAATACAACTTTTCAGTAGGTTTAGCTCCTCATTAACTAAATACAAGTTACCGATTTCTTTTTAATTGGGTAAACCAGCTCCCCACAGAGTTACACCATAACTCAAGGACTGGGTAGAATGCAATAAATCCTAACAATCGATTAAGTGTTTCTGTTGTTTTCATCTCTAGGGGTTGATCTCTTAGGCTCAGGGAATAGGCCATGGCCAAACCAAGAATTTATTTGTTAAATTGCTTTGGAGTTGGAACACAATTTCCCACACCCATTATGTCTGTTGCCCTTATTCCAGTGCCACAGTAATGATTCTGGGGCCCCCATCATAGTCTCAGTCATCAAAAACCCAGGTATAGTTTGCTGTGTGTGGAGTACATAAATCCTCTACATTTAAAAGGTTATGTGAGATAAACCCCCAAGTTTGCAACTTCAGAGGTACTTATGTTGACTCCTACTTTCTCCCAAATCACATTTTCCCATCAAAAACCATCTGGTTCCCATGTTTATCTGTACAGGAGAAGTTAACCACATTCTCAAATTTCACTAAATTTTCTCTCTCCCTTGATGGTGATTTTCCACTAAGAAATAATATTTTTCTCACTTTGCTTGCATGATGACCACAGGACAGTATGGTCGATGTGAGATGCCAAGCTGGCGCCTCTGCCAGCTACTCTTACATGCCAGCAAAATTAGAAATGACCACATCATGGTCCTGCAAAATCTTTTACATGTGAGGAATCTTGATGAATGGAGAATGTGCTTTGAGTTTCAGCAAAAGGGAAGATGCCCATTTTTAAAAGATTTTCAACCAAAAAGATCAAAGCTTTTTAAAAAAAGCAATAAAAACAGAGGTTTATTTTCCTTTCTAATTAACCCTCAGTTAACCAGACAACCTAGTTAATTGTAACTTTCCAGTTAAACTAAAGGTGAATTCTAGTTCATTGGTGTTTATTATGAAAACCTTCATGGTAACCCAGTGTCAGAGATTAAGGTGACTCATTCCTGCTGGGCAGCCTCCCCATCCAACTGGCTGGTGTCTTGTGCTCCTGGAAGCTCTTTTCATCATCCCCGCATTTTCCCTCTTTGTGGGTGTTCAACCCAACAGGAAACAGATGAGTGACAAAGAGGCGAGAGCAAGGCCACCTTACTCCAACTCTTGGTTTCAGTTTGCAGAGTAGAGCCCTGGCCTACCCAATAGGAAATGAGAGGCAGGGATGCCTTGCTTCTCTTTTGGCTTTCCTCCCTACCTTCTTTTGTCTGGTCTCTATCTACAGCTGACTGCCAAACCTTCCCAGTGGTTGGGCAACACCCCCAGGACCTATATTAATCCACTCTCACTCTTGCTTCTGTTCCATGTCAGCAGCAGCAGAAGCCTCACTTGTAGGAGTATTGTAGAAAGCAGTCCTGGGCACCTTCTGGCCCATGCTTGATTCGTAATCCAGGTACATATTACATATGTTATGTCTTATCCCCCATGTTACACAGGGAAGAATATGAATCCTGGAAGTTAATAGGGCCTTTAAGCTTAAAAGGAACACTGTCATTTTATTTCATCTCCACAACCACCTTGAGAGATGGGCAGGAATTATTATTGGAAAGCAATAGGTAAGGAAACAGGCTCTGGGAAAGTAAGCCATTGGGTCAATGTCATGGGTGTGTGAGAAGGCGGGGGGACCTTGCTGCCCCTCTGGAAGCAGGCATTTTATGCCCTCTAGAGGGTCGAGACTGCTTGCATTGAGAGCAGTTGTGCTATAATGAACGTGGTGCTCACCTTGGCTTGGGGCCAGTGGTCCTTGCACCAGATATTGCCACCATTATCTATAGGGAGTTTCCTTCTATGTGAGCCTCAGTTTGAAATAAGGGGAGCACAGTGGTCTGTGGATTACCTCCAGAGTGTGGTGTCATCAGCCAGCTTGGCAGGTGCCTTCACTTAAAAGTGAAACTTGTGATCAACCCACTGAGAATAAACACCCTGCTGCAGTTGTTACTACCTCCCCTCAGATTCATTCCTTCTTTCTCCTCCCAACAGAGGAGATGATTTCACAATCCTTCTGAATGCACGCGCAGAAGCAGGAGAAAGTTTAGGAGCAAGGGTTCTTTGTCAGTGCTCGATTGTCTATCTGTGATGTGCTTTGAGATCAAGGAGGATAGAGTTTTCTCCCAGATTATATGAGGAGCCCCTAAAAATAATCTTGTTACTTTGTGAAATGTGGTCAGTGGAAATATTCCTTTGGGTTGGCTCTTGCATTGTAAACATTTGGGAACCATTAAAGCTCCGTGTAACATGAGCAAGTTCATCTGGGCTCTGACTTGGGCTGATTTGCAGAGTTCACATTGTAGCTTTGACAGAGAGCTTTTGACATTTGGTTGTCTGATGTTGACTATAACCCAAAATGATGCATTTTTATAACCCTAGTTTGTACTCTTCTAAGCCTGTGTAATTAAACTCCCCCATGCAGTTGGGAGAACACAGATAGCCTATGGCTCAGGGATCATGACCAAAGTGGGCTGTTCCCTTTGTCCCTCACTTCACTGAGTGCTCCAAAAGATGTAAACAGGCAGCCACTGAACCCCAGCTTCCTCTCAAATCCCCAGACTGAATAGAGGAATGGGGATTCTTCTATATTGTAGATCCTTCTCCCAGGGATAGAACTGTGGCCACTCTCCTGATACAGGTATCAAGAGTGCCAGAGCTGTATATAGGTTTTTGGGGCTCCTGCCTATCAGTGCAGAGTGAGAAGAGATTCCATGCAGCCCTACTGCAGTAGAAAATCCACTTTCACCGCACCTCCAGTTTTGCCTCAGTGTCTTCTCTCCCCAACCTCAGTAGTCATCTCGGGCAGATCTGCCTTGCAGACTCACCAGGCAAAGGCTGCAGGAATGAGGTCTACTGACTTCTCCACAGAACTTGGAGGTCAAGAGTAGGAACCCCTGCCCCCCACGACCCTGTTCCCACGAGGGCCAGCTTGAGGGCATGATGAGCAAGAGTTGACAAAGGGGTATGCTGGCTACTTGGCCTCCCTCCTGTTGAGGGGGCCTGTGGCCCGTTTCACGCATCACTGTTCGGTCTGTCCTCTTTGCACTACAGTCAGGATTTCCCTCTTTGCTTCACTCCCCCAAGCTGGGCCTCTGTGTGCTTAGGAAATGCCAAGGGGAATTGTACAACTTGAACTAGTTTGCCATGCTGCTGGGACACTCGTCTGTTACTGATTTCTTCTCCTTTTTTATTAAAAGCATTTCCATGTCCCTCGCTCAGAAACCTCTGCATGCATGGGCACAATTACCAAAATGCCTAGTCATCAGCATCCCACCTATTGAGGAATGTCAGGCTCTGGGACACGAAAACACTGATCTTGCACAACTCTTGGATGAACTGGGGACCTTCTTTGTAATGAAATGAGGGTTTCTTTTCCTTTTAAGAATTACTTTTATAGACCTGACCTTTGTAAGACAGCTCTATCTTTTCATGTGGGGAATCCTTTGGGATTTTATGAATAAACCTTCAATAGCATTGTTTTTAGTTTTTAAAAAAGGGGGGCCACATTTCTCATCCCAGTACAACAGGGATATTATTTGTGTTTGACATGCAGGTCCCTGTGAGTGACAACAAGGTGACATGTCTGTGCGGGGTGTCAGTCAGGAGGAGAGCTTGGGAAGCAAGTGGGATATTAAACGTTGCCTCTGTTTCCAATAGGGAGTAGAAATGATTCAGGCAGAACCTTCTATGGATGGAAGTTGTTTAGTAGATAAGAAAGGGCAGTGTTTCCCTGTCATATTCCTTGACTATATCTTGAATTGTGACAGAAGGGGTGAGGATGAGGGACGGTGGATATGGGGTCTGTGAAGCACACGTCTGACCAGGCAAAGAGAAGATTATCAAGGAGCGATGGTTATTTCTCAGGGTAACTGAAGCCACAGGCCCAGCTCACAGTCTCTCTCCTTGTTTCAAACTGAATTGAGGACAAGACCCACTAGGACAAGGCATGGTTTTCCAGATTCCACTCACACGCCAAAGAAGCTGCTCTCCTACAGAACTCCCTGCCTTTGCCCTGACAACTAGCATCAGCAAGGCACCATCAACTGACTTAGCCAGCCACCACTAAAGCGGCACGAATGGATCTAGCCAAGCCAGAACTCATCAGTTTGTTTTCAAGGGACCAGGACCAGAAATGAAACACGTATTTTTATGCCCAATACTACTGCCATTTACAGTCACCTTCATCACCTTGATGCTTCACTCTGTCCTCCATTGCACCTTCACTGTCCCTTTCAGTCCTTGGTCACTCTGCAGGAGGGCCTGGCCCTCTAAAGCCCAGTGCATAAGTATACTGGATCCCCTGTTACAAAAGCTCTTATGAGACAGACAGAAAGTCCTAATGCTCCCTGTGGTCTCTTCCCTAAGCTACTGGGCCAGCGCCCGTGGCTTCCTGGGGCTCTTTGATTCTCATTGCACATGACCTCATTCTCCAGCTGTGTTTCGGAGGTGTCCTTCTAGCCACTGCTAGCCTCTTGGAGACGTCTACTTTCTCAGAATGACTGTAGGTTGCAGAGGAAAGTTTTTTGATTCCAGGGTGATTTGAGAGCTCTGACATTTTTTTTTTAAACAAAATTTAGATTTTAAATTAAGAAAAAAACTCCTTGAAGGACTCTTACATGCTGGTTCATTAATTCTACATATCATTATTGGGCACTTACTCTAGGCCAGGCCCCATGCGAGGTACTGGGTGTACAAATGATGACCAGAAAAGACAAGGTCAATGCCCTCATGGAATTTAGAGTTAAATTGAGTAGGTATAACAAAGAAGAACAACTGTGCAATTAAAACTTGTGAAACTGCTTCGAAAAAATGCACAGAGGGCAGTGATAGAAGAAAACAGGGAAATCTTGTTGGCATGGCCAGACCGGGTCTTCAGAGAAGGCAGTGTTTTGCTGAGACCTAATGACTGAGAAGTGAGAGTGGTCGGAGGAGGTGGTGGAGGGTGGGATAAGGAGAGAAGGGGAACCGGGGATTGAGGGGGGAGAGGGGATGGTATCTATGGAGGTGGGAGATGCTTGCACCATTGAGGATTCAGAGCAGCCAGCAGAGCAGAGCAAGCAGGGGCAGAGAAAGGCGTCGCAAGATGCAACCCGACAGGACAGTAGAGGTCAGGTCATGGAAGGGCTTAAAGGTCACAGCACAGAGTATGGGTTTTTTTCAGATTCAATAAGAAACTGGTTTGTGTTTTTCAAATGTGCTACTGGCAGCTGAGGTGAGAAATGATCATAACTACGATTTTAAGTGGGGATACCAGACTGGGGGCCAGGTGAGAGTGATGAAAACCCTGACTTGAGGAGAGACAGAGGCAGAGGCAGATGGGCTTCTTATGTCCGTGGTGGAGATAAGGGGACTTGCTGTGGGGCTGACGGAGTGGCAGGAGTCAGGGGTGACTGCCAGGTTTCTGTTTTAAATAACAATATATGTGAATGACATTTACTGAGAAGGGGAAGACAAAGTGGAATCCTTAATTCTGTAATCCTATCAAGGCAATGATTCTTATGGTTCTAATGAAAAAATAATTCAACCTGTTATTTTAATCTTTCTGAAACACAGTTTGTGAGACAATAATAATAGCTTGGCAGCTGAACAGATCATTAGCCCTCAAGGACTCACTCTGAATAGATGCTAATTGGATATTTTGATTGAGGGTAACATTATCTCAGGAGACAGAATTAAGTTCCTGACAGTCTACCCTGAAAGAACAAGGAGTAAAATATCTGAATTATGAGACTCTTCATTTGAACCCCTGCACTAAATCTGTATTAAGAGAAGTTGACAGCCTCCTGTTTCTCCTTTTTAAGAAGAAATGCAGAGTCGTGTCAGTTAGGAAGGTGAGGGCTGGGATAAATATTCCCAGCCCTTATTCCCAGGTTGAGATAAAGTTTAGAACCTCTCTTCTATTAATCCTGGGGAGGGTAATTCACATAGTTCATTTTGAAACCAAGTAACATGGTCTTACTTGAATTGTCCCAAGAAGTGCTTCTTGAAAAATGGAAGAAAAACAGACTCTGAACATTTAGGAGGCCTTATTCTTCGCCCCCCTCCCTTAGGCATAGACGGTGCCCTGCCCTTGTCCCACACTTCAGAGGGCCCCACTTTGGCCCTTCTAAATCCTGGCCCTCTCTGTGGGGTGAGGAGTTTGCAGGGCCAGAGGGATGTGTCTACACAGAGCCTGTGTTTTTCCTTCTAGACCACATTTCAAATATCAAAATCCCAGAATTCCCCATTCAAAAAGGGGCCTGGGGATTGGTTCTCTCCATAGAACCCTGTTTTCTGGCACAAAACTCTAAGGAGCTGGATCTTGCCCTCCAGGTTTTCAAGGACAAGGATAGAAACTATTTTAACAGTTCATTGGTGTGACTTAAACATGTCTCCATAGAGTATGTGGGCCTCCACTTGTCCCGGGCCCAGCCAGGGCTGGGGCAGAGCTGTTACCCCAGTTGGGGCAGACCTGAGAATTGGTTACCTGGGTTGTGGCAGATGGGTTTGAAAGCAGATCTTGGCCTTTCTAAAATAAGGGTTGTGAATGGAGTCTATATAAAATAACTCACCCCGGCAGAAGGTCTCATGGTCTGGGGTAGCTGACCACGCCGCAGCCTGGGCCTCATTTGCACTGTCAGTGTAAGAACACACCCAAACTGTAGAGAATTTTTATGAATTTATTTGAACCAAAGTGATGACATGCCAGGGAGCAAGATCTCACAATGCCCCTGATAATGGCAGTTGTGCACTTCCTTTTATACACTTGGAAATCAAGGAAGGCTATAAGGACAATTGAATGAAGGTGGGAGAAAGCAAAGTACAGGATAGTTAGGATTATGAGCATCCTTGAGAGCAGTTATGCTTAAGAGGGGTCTAAAAAAGACTACTCTGACATTTCAAAGGTGTGTCTAGATGCACAAGAGCAGTGGACAGGGCTTGCTTAAACCTTGTTATAGGCCTGGAGTGTGACTGCCCAGTGAGAAATATATGATTGGATCACCCTGTGGAGTTATTTTCTGTCAGATTTATTACAAAGCCCCTTTTTCGTCCATAGGACTTAACCCAAAAATCAGAACCAAATAGGGCAGTGATACCCTCCACCCAGTTCCTCCCTGGCTGAGGTCTTGGGGAGCAGGAGGAACCTGAGCAGAGTGGAGCCATGAGTTCCTGGGCTCTGATGGGAGGGGTGAGGACCTGGTTCTACCCCCCAGGGTAACCATTGCCTTAAAGGCCTGCAGAACCTCAGTAAACAACACCTCTCTCTCTCTCTCTCTCTCTCTCTCTCTCTCTCTCTCTCTCTCTCTCTCCCCCCCCCACCTCCCTCCCCCTCTCCTTCCCTCCCTCCCTCCCTCACTCCCTCTCTCTCCCTCACTCCCTCTCTCTCTCTCTCCTTCTCCACCTGTTTCTGGTCCCCTCTCCTTCCTCCACACCCACCCCTCCTTGCCTTTACTCCCTCTCCTCTCCCTCATCATCTGCAGTAAACCGCTCCCCTTCTCGCTGCAGCGGGTTGAACCGCTCTGAGTCTCCCAACCGTGAGCGCAGTGACTTCGGGGGGAGCAACACCCAGCTGTGCAGTAGCAACAACAACCTCTACACTCCTGACTACTCAGTTCACATCCTTAGCGACGTGCAGTTTGTGAAGGTAACGCCCCCAGGTGGACCGTCCCTTGATCCTGCTGGCAGAGTTGGCTGGGGAAGCAGGACAGGATGTGTGTCCCATTCCCCCATGATCCAAGATAAAGTGATGATGAGGCTAAACCTCAGAAAGCCAGAGCCCATGATTCTTCTCCCTGTTGCTTCACTTCCAGCCCTGCAGCCCTCTCATTGCAGAATTTCCTCAAAAGTGGGTATAGAATGAAATCAGAGAAAAGAAATTTTACTGTGCTCTTACTGCTTTGTAGTACTAGCCACATAGCTTGTGGGAAAAGAAACGGGAAATCATAGTGTTGAGTTATTGGTTCGAATATTTACCGAAGGCCTGCTCTGTGCTTGGCCCTGTCCAGGCACTGGTGAGTAAACGGGGCAAACAAGACAGCAAGCTCCTGCCTTTCTGTACTTTCCATGCCAACAGGGGAGAAAGATGATAAACAAGTAATCACATAAAACCTGGGTAATTTCAGGTAGTGATAACAGTTATGAAGGAAATAAACAGGGTGGTGGGATAAACAGTGAGGCTACTTTAGAAACGGTTATCAGAACGGGCCGAGAAAGGCGCGTTTTTTGCTGAGACCTGAAATGGGAGTTGGGGAGAATGTTAAAAACAGAAACAACAGGCAGGAAGGAGCTTGATGGTCCAAGGATCTGAGTGCAACAGCAGAGGCTGGTGTGAGGTGAAACTGGAGTGTCAGCAGCAATGTCCTCTGGCATCTGTTTGGCCAGAGCAAGGCATTTGGATTCTATTTGAACTGGGATTTTGTATTAGGTTTGTTTCTCAGGTCTTTCCATTTGTCTTAGTCTATTTGAGCTGATGTAACAAATTACCATAGGCTGGGTGGCTTAAACAACAAACACTTCTCACAGTTCCGGAGACTTAAAAGTCCAATTTCTAGGTGCTAGCAGATCTGGTGTCTGATGAGAGCCCCATCCTGTTTTGCGAATTGAAAACTCTGATTGGAATGAGTGGTTCGATAGAAGGGAATTTGACAGTTCAAGCCCTTGTTTTAACATAGGGATTTATTTTGGTGTCATTTTACTCTTTTGTTTCATTTTTTAAATGTAAGTTAGGGTGATGCCTCAGACTAAAGTTAAAAATTCCCTCCTCCAGATTTAATGGATGTGTTAGGGCCATTATGTAGGCTGCTCTTTTATTGACCTCTACCACTCCCCAACCCCCTTTTTTTAACATGAAGAGACTTTTTGAGGAACTTTAAGAGAAGTCCATACAAAAGGTGTGTTTTCACTGGCTGAAGCCCCTGTGGGTAGCTGAAAGAAGTCCTAGAACTGTTTATTAAGTCCAGGAGTAAATTGACTTCACAATAAGTTACAAAATTTGATTAAAATTTGATTATCTGAGAAAGATATGAAAGCTATGATTAATAGTAGTTAATAAGTTGTGGAGGTACCAAAGAGTCCTTATGCCTTTTTTTTTAAAAAAAAAATACGTTTTGTAAATATCATTATTACACTAAGAATATTTTGGCATAATCTGGTTTGTGTCACTGTGACCAAGATGCCTCATCACCATCTGGTGGCAGAATCCCTAAATTGCAGGATCGTGTTTTCAAGGATGAAAGTCATAAAATGATTAAGAGGCATCATGCTGGCTAAAGGTGAACTTCTGGACATGTTGGCTGCTAAGTCAAAACTTCCATAAGTAATATCAGGTGCTTTGTTGGGTTTATCAAGTGTCACTTAGGAAATTTTCCTGTCCTTTAAGCCAGGAGAACCTGCAAGACTCCAAAGAAATCTTTACCTTCAGGAAACCCATGGGCACATTTAAAAAACTGGGTTTTGATAATGACCTTGGTTCAGCACTGTGCCAGCTTCTTGTCAGCCATCCAGATGCTTATGTATCCCCAAACTACAAAGTAGCTATTGGGGCATTTCCCTTGAAGGATGGTGAAAGGCACCCTGATGGAGCCAGGCACTTTTGCAGTGTACAGAGCAAGAGTTAAGGTCCTTTAAACTAAAATATCCAGATTGCAAAGCATGCCATTATTAGACTCTGGAGTTTCCCCTCTGAGAACTTGGAGTTCCACATTCTCAGTTCACCTTCCATCTCCCTGGCTCCAGTGAATAGCAGCTCCCCAGGCAAAACCCGTACCATATGAGATAGTGTGCTGACTAAGACTCTGAATGCCTGCAACTCTCAAACCCTAGACAAGTTCCTCAACCTTTTTGGGCTCATTTACTTATGTGTCATATGAAGAGTATAAGACCTGCCCTCCCCACACAGTCATTGTGACCAGCAAAGGCAATTTCACAGGGCTAAGTGCTCTGTAAGCTGCAATGCACTATACAGATGGGAGGTCCCCTCCTCTTCTACCAACCTCTGCCTGCAAAAACAAGCCCTTCTGGGTAATGCTAGCACTAGAGTTTTCACCTGTGTCTGAAAACTCAATCCCTAGTTCCATCTCTTTAGGATATTTATAGCACTTCCAGTAAGATAGTACATGATAGCCAAAAAAATAATCCAGTTATGTTTTAAGTTAAAAATTGAAAACAGATTGTAAACCAAATTGGTGAAAAAGCTATCAGGAATGAGTTTGCTACTGAAAGTAAATAGTAAATTTATCTGTGAGCTTCCTGGTCATAAAAGCAAAAAGCAGTAGAGAATCAAGATGGCAATGGAGTGAGTCGAAGTCACACTGACCTCCTTCCAGGACCAATCTGGAATTACAACTAAATTTTGGAGAAATCACCTGGAACAAACAACTGAACGATAGCAAGAGAGGAGCCATATACCTAGGACAGACAGAAGAATCAGCTTTAGCAAACCTAACTGGTAAGGAGTGAGGTGGAGACTCGAGAAGGCAGGCGGGATGCTGATGGGCAGCAACACCAGAATGATATTGAAACGGCCAGTTGGATCCCCCTGAGAAGAGCGGGGTCTAAACCATAAGCGGGGATCTCCAGCCTACAGCACCAGAACCCAAAAAGTACACAGATAACAGCCAGCTGAGAAAAGCAGTAGGGTTGCTCTCTGCCAGAGACGGGGCTGGAGACGCAAAGAGCCATTTAAAGGGCCAATGCATAGATTTTTATTTGCAGCCACTTACCCTGGGCTCCGGCAAAGGCGAGGGCAGAGTGGGATAGAGACACCTGAGGAGAGACTACAGAAGGAGGCTTCGGGAAGAGAACTAAGGAAGTAGCCAGCAGGATCCTGATGCTGACTCATCCCCCATAGATCAGCAGCCATCTTGCATAGGCAGACCACTCCCCTGAGCGGCAGTAGCGTGAGAGGACACAATAGCCCCACCTCCAGGAGGGACTCGACCCAGGCCCGGTAGTGCTAAAGCCTGACTGCTGAGGACAGAGTGGCAGCCATAGATAGTAGATCCTGGGCTAAAGGGGGCACAGAGTGGTCTAGAGACACTTCAGGAGAGACTGGACACACAGGATTTAGGGAAAGAACGGAGAGAGTAGCCAATGGGATCCTGGTGCTGTCTCCTCCCCCATACGGCAGCAGCCATCTGACTCAGGCAGAGACCGCTCCCCTGAGTGGCAGCAGCGTGAGAGGACCCAATAGCCCTGCCCCCAGGAGGGGCTCTGCCCCACCCTGTGGTATCTAAGCCGGCCTGCTGAGTGCAGAGTGGCTAGATTAACAGCTGAAGGAGCTAGCCACAGACAGTAGATTCCTGGAAGTCTCGAACAGACTGCATAAGGTCAGACAGTGACGACATCTGACATCATCAAAGGCAGATCCAGAAAGAAAAACAGCGGTCTCCTACCATAGAAGTTCACAACACAAAGTCGGGAAATCAAGACAGATCAATTTAAGAAGCAGAAGCAAGAAAGAAGAGTCTCACAAAATGCGAAGACAAAGAAGCACCCCCCCAGTCAAAGAGAAAGGAGGACTCCCCAGAGAGAGAACTAAATGAAATAGAGGCAAGAAAACTATCAGATATTCAGTTCAAAACAATGGTTCTAAGAAAGCTCAATGAGCTCAGAGAGCAATACAAAAAACTACAGGGAAACTATGAGGAACTTCCTGCAAACTCTATCAGCATGAAAAAGGACATAGAAACTATCAATAAGAGACAAGAGGAAATGAATACAGTTTCTGAATTGAAGAACACAGTAGAAGGAATCAAAAGCAGGCTAGATAAAGCAGAGGAACAAATCAGCAAGCTGGAGGACAGTGTAGAAAAAAGCTCCCAGAAAGAGCAAGAAAATGAAAAAAAGACTCAAAAAGAATGGAGAGGCATTTAGAGAAATGCAGGACAACCTGAAACGTACTAATTTTCGTATAATAGGGATACCAGAAGGAGGAGAAGAGGAGGAAGGGATAGAGAACCTGTTTGAAAAAGTAATGATGGAGAACATCCCTAATTTGAGGAGAGAAAAAGTCACACAAGTCCAGGAAGCACAAAGGATCCCACTCAAGAGGAACCCAATGAGGTCCACTCCAAGACACATCATCATTAAAATGGCAAATATCAAAGACAAACAGAGAATCCTAAAGGAAGCAAGGGAGAAGAGGTAGTAACATATAAGAGAGCCCCGGTACAGCTAGCAGCTGACTTCTCAACAGAAACACTACAAGCCAGAAGGGAATGGCAAGAAATATTCCAAGTCATGAAAAGCAAAGGCCTGCAACCAAGACTGTTCTACCCAGCAAGGCTCTCAATTAAAATGGAAGGAGAAATAAGGAGTTTCCCAGACAAAAGAAGGCTAAAAGAATACACCTCCAACAAACCAGCATTGCAAGATATGCTAAAGGAACTGCTTTAAGATGAAGCAAAAGCGTCTATGAACACCCAGTTCCTTTCACAGTCACCAATACTTGATATAACCAATATTTTTAATACTTATTAATCTGAATGTGCCAATGATGTGTTATTTTGTTACTTTATTATTTGTTAAAGCTAAACCTGTTTTTTTATATTTCTTACCTATTTCTATTATTTTTAAAAAGCTTTACATGGCTTTTTGGTATTCCTTATCCATTTTTTTATTAAATGTTTATAGAATATTTTCCCTAAAAAAAACCCAAAAAACTACTAACCTTTTTTTAGATGTGTTGCAAATACTTTCCAATTCTATTACTTGTCCTTTAACTTTTTTTATATGTATATTATTATATAGTCCTAAATGTTTAATATAGTCATATTGTCAATATTTTACTTTATAGCTTCTGGGTTTGAATATTTTACCTCAGGGTAAAAAAAATATTATTTTGTGTTTTCTCCTAAAAACTCCTTAGATTATACATATTGATTTTTAACTCACCTGAATAAGTTTTGTACAATGTGTGAAATAGGGCTCTATATTTGTTTTATTTCAAGTAATAGTAGTCCATGCACCTTATTTGTTGAATAAGCCTTATTTTCCCCATTGATTTGAAATATCAATTTAATCATATATTACATTGTTAGATATATACATTTGTTTCTAGAATGCTCATTTTTATTTAATTGATCTGCTTGATTATTTCTGAGCTGGTGTCAATGTTTTAATTTCTCAGACTCCATAATGGATTTAAATTTTTAAATATTTTATAATGGATTTTGACATTTAAAATAATAAATACATAAAATCTTCATTTAAAAAGAAAGAAAGAAGGGAAGAAGAAAAAAGGGAAGAAAGAAAGAAAGAAAGAAAGAAAAGAAAGAGAGAAAGAGAAAAGAAAGAAACTCCTACCTTTTGTGACAGCTTGGATAGAACTGGAGAATATTATGCTAAGTGAAATGAGCCATTCGGTGAATGACAAATACCATATGATCTCACCTATAAGTGGAATCTATTCAACAAAATAAACTAACGAACAAAATAAACCACAGGCATGGAAACATGGAGCAGACTGAAAGTGACCAGAGGGGATGGGGAAGGAGGACAATGGTGGAAAGAAGGAGAAGAGACTAAACAAAGAACATGTATGAATGACCCATGGACATGGACAACAGTGTGGGAATTGACTGTGGGGGGGGAAGGGTGGAGGAGGGCAATTGGGAGAAAATTGAGACAACTGTAATAGAATAAACATGATTTAAAAATAAAAAATTTTTTTTAAAAGCAAAAAGGAGAAACTGGATCTTTGAGTTCTCATCCAATATAAGGAACTATATAATTCACCTAGAGAAGGAGCTTCTTTCTGGCAGTAATTTCTTGAAGGATGTATCAAATGTACTCCTCTATTAATTATGGAAGGCATCAAAAGATACATACTGGCTTCATCTGTGGGTTTGCAAGAGTTTATGTTCTGCATATGACGGTTTCTTATTTCAGCCTTTTACATAAGTGGAGGGTCTCATTCTTGCCAAATCGCCACTGACCCTTAGGAAGAGGGCCCTTGGCAACTAAGCCTGAATTTTAAAAGTCTTTGTGGGCGACCGCTCTGCTACCCAAAGATGCCCTGTGTCCTCTCCAGGGTCTCAGGGGAAGAGTTAGCTCCTCCAGGTGCAATTTGAGAGTCCAGAGCCAATAAAAATGACAGTGGGAACACTGGTAGCAAACAAGCAAAGGGTCCCCTCATTGCCTTCACTTGCTGGCCTGGTATAGCTTGGGTGAGGCCCACCAGTTCATGGGCCCAGGCCACAGAGTCCTGGGTTCCAAAGCACCCTAGTGGGGCTGCATCTGAGCTTGGTCAGCCAGGTGACACCTAGGGAGGGCTCTGCCCAGCTCCTCCTGAGCTTCCGCCCCCCCTGCCTCTTCCTTCCAGATCACACGGCAGCAGTACCAGAACGCGCTCACCGCCTGCCACATGGACAGCTCACCCCAGTCCCCCGACATGGAGGCCTTCACTGATGGAGACTCCACGAAGGCCCCCACGATCCGGGGCACACCCCAAACCCCCAAGGATGACCCTGCTGTCACCCCCCTGAACAACAGGAACAGCCTGCCATGTAAGTCAGTCAGGTGGATGGGTGGCGCTGCCTTGGGGCGAGGGCAGCCCTGCCTTCTTCCTCATAGCTGTCCACAGCTGCCGTCTTGTGCTCGTGGAGCCTCAGTTGTTCTCCAAAGCTGAGGGGTGACAAGCTCTCTGTCCTCCTCAGGCAGCCACTCAGATGGGCTGAGAAGCCCCGGCGAGGTCGTGTACCTGAGGATGGAGGAGATGGCCTTCACCCAGGAGGATGTGACAGACTTCGAGGAGCAGAGCACAGAGCAGCTCTCGCTGTCTCCTGCAGCTGTTCCTGCAAGAGCAGGTCAGGGAGGGAAACAGGGCTGGGGAGGAACATGGTCATCACCATCGGGCACTGGGTGAGGGGAGCCTGGGAGCCCGGCCCCTGTGTAAAGGTCCCAGCTCTTTACACCCCCCGGGAAGGAAATTAACGTCTCCTAAGGAACTACTATGCGTCAGACCCATCCTAATTCATTCTAGGAAGACGGTGGGTAGGGCAGTGGTAAGAACGAGACTTCCGCCTGAGTTCAGAACCTGGCTCCTTCACTTAGGAGCCATGCAATTTTAGGCAAGTTACTTTAATTGAGGGTTCAGTTTCCTTGTCTAAATAGTAAGTCTCTTTATGTTAAAAAAAAAATGTAAATCATGGTAACTAGCTCATAAAGTAGCTTTGAGCATAAACAAGAAAGAAGGCATATCCCAGTACTTGGTACCATGCTCTCTAAATATTACGGAGTTATTGTTAGACCTACTTTACAGATTAAGACATTGAAGTCAGCCGCCGCTCTCATTGCCAGGGCTGTTCCCTTCCTTGGAGGCCCAAAGACCAGAAGTAATCTGTAGGACTTGCCCTGAAGTCTGATATCATATCACCTCCCTCCGAGACACTGGACAGCTTTGTCTTGACAGTGATGTTGCTCCAAGTTCCCAGTGTCCCAACAGTCCTGAGATTCTTCTGTTCTTGCCAAAGGTATACTTCCCCCAAGCTTTCGGCAGCCCTCTGCATCCACTCCCCAGGTTAGCAGTTACTCCACCTGGCCTTTGTTTGAGACCCCTCAGGTTCAGAGCAACGACCTGACAAGTGCTAATAGATTTTCAAAATCAGAGAGACAACATGTTTGAAATTGTAGCTAATGCAGCAAATCTGGGACATACATAATCACTGTTCCATGACCCAAATTTAGAACTGATGTTCTTTTTCTCCCACCCACACTGAGTTTAGTAGCTAAAACATGTAGCAAGAAATTGTATCAATGGAAGAGATGGAATAGTCTAAGGAGATTATCTAATCCATCCTCCTCCGTGACACATAAGGACCCTGAGACCTGGAGAAGGGAAGTGACTTGGCCCATCCATATGCGGCATTAGGAGAGGGCTCAGCCTCATGGCTCAGGGTCCGCTGCAGTTTCCACTACACCATTTTGACTCCCGGATTAGGTTCTTCCTGCATTGGCAGTAGAAGCCTGAGCCCCTTCCTGGCTCTGAGGTTTCTGACTTCTCACCAGGTTTAGTGGGAGAAAGCCTGACATGTACTTAATTGTTACTGAGCCCTGTGATTTTTCCAGGGTCTGTTCAAATAGAGGAAGGAAACATCCCCACCTGTCCTCAAATGCGCATTTTGTCTGGCAAAGATGCTGAGTAAAGGACATCCTGTTCTCTTCTCTCTTCTACCATACAGCGTTTGAACACTTGATTCTGATTCCTGTTCTGTCTCTTTGTCCCTTTTGTGACGCTAAGGGTCCCCTGCTAAAGGCTTCCTGGGCATCCCTCCCATGCTAGGGCCACTGCTAACTTAGGTCTGGTTTTGAACTTTCACTTGCTAAGAAACGTCACCCAGAATCATTCCACCTACATGCCTGGGTGCATGGGTTGGGAAAACTTGTGTTCTCTCTTCTGTCCTCGTAGCATCAGATAGTGAATGTTGTAATATCATCCTGGATACAGAGACCAGCCCCTGCAGTAGTGACTTTGAGGAAACCATTGGCAAGAAGCTGCTGAGAACCTTGAGTAAGTAGTTCTTTACCAAGATGAAAGCCATCCACCAGCTGGTTAGTAGAAAAAGCATGTTAGGATCTTACTCATGGAGGAGAAACCATTGGCTCCTTTTGGGAACCCTAATGAGGTACAATCATGGAAATCCATCATGGGGCTTCAGCTGGTACCTCACCCTTGATAATTTGGGGGATCTGTCCCATTCAAGTGATGTTTATTTAGGACAGAAGTCTGCAACCATGGCCATGGGCCCACCCAAACCACCACCCTGCCTGTTCTTGTAAAGACTTAATTGGATCATAGGCAGACCCATGTGTTATTTATGGCCACAGTGGCAGAGTTCAATAATGGCAAAATGGACCATAAGGCCTGCAGAACCTATCTGGTCTTTGCAGATTATAAAAAACCAATATTTACTATCTGGTCCTTTAACGACAATTTATGTCTAGGAGACTCATTAGAAAGAGCAGTGTCTCCCAAGGAAGTCAGTGGCAGAAGAAAGGTGAAAAAAACTCTTTCTAAACACAACAGAGCTGGGAATAGATTGCTCTTTCACCCCACCTGCCCAAAGCAGGCAGAGCTGCAGAGCCAGAGAACATAGATGCCCAGCTACACCCACCACCCGTGGCTCACGGGACAGCAAAGGTGTGAGACCAATCCTCTGTCAGAGGCCGGGCAGTCAGTTGGGCTGAGGATGGGAAAGTCGTGACCCCAGGCATTACATGGCCCTTCCTCAGTTATCTCCAGGCAGCTCCATTCCATTTGCACTAGCCTGGGGTTGTTGCTTTTTAGAGCCGTCGCCTCAGGTGGAAGGTGCATCCCCATCCTTCCACGGGTAAATATGCTGATATCAGCACCAGGATACAGGCAGATTACTTCCTGCCAAAACTGTCTTCATATCTGCTACTTTGAAGAAAAGAGCTTGGACCACCAAGAGAGTATGAGTGTCCTCCCAGTCTTACAGATTGATCCTTGCAAACTGTTTTTCAGGTGGTCGAAAAGGAAAGAGGTCACCTGATGGAGAGCAAGCCTCTGAGGAGAACTCCAATTTAACACCTCTGATCACATGATGGGGGCAGACATCGTTTTCTGAGTGCGTGAGATTCCAGAGCTTTGAGGGAGAACCCACCCTCCCATCATCCGCTTCTCCCCAAGGCCTCCCGCAGGTGACAGTGCGTACTTCTTCCCTTACCACCTCTTCATCCCTAACCGTCAGTTTGGCACTTTCCCTCGTTGCCTCCAGTTTGACTCAGAGCCTTGCTGTGGCCAGAACGGAAGGAGAGGTGGCGCCAGTGGAACAAGCTAGAAATGGTCTTGTCCATGGCACAGCGTGGGACTGGAGAAGACGTGACATTGCCACTCGGGGACTCTTGATGCCCTTTTTGTTCTTTGAAATCCCTTGATGTCATATTTCATGCTTAGCTTATCTCAGAGGTGCCACTGACAGACAGGCACAGAGGAGGCTGTTTGGAAGTTAGTTCAGGGGATGCACCAAGAATTCCTCCAGAACTTTAAGGCGGTGGGACTCAGCCATGTTGGGTACAGAGTCCCCAACAGTACAGAAAACTGTTGGTGCCTGGTTTCCTGTTAGATAAGGGTTCCAGCAGCCTGAGAAGTGTGTCTTGGCTGGAATGGAAAGAATGTGAGGTGGTACCTCAAGTCACTAATTTTCCCAGGGACACATCTGCTTTGGCTCTCCCTCACCAGTTATCAATCCATCAATAAATCTGCTCTGGGAGAGAAACAGAGGGCAGAGACACCCAATTGAGAGCCAGAGATGGAACTTCAGGTTTTAAGACACCCAGTTGGGAGCCAGAGATGGAACTTCAGGTTTTAAATTCAAGTAGAAGTAGAAAATATATATATATATATGTATATGTGGAAAAATTCTAAGCTGTTGAAGCAAGTTCAGCCATGACAAACCAAAGAGTGCCCAGGTCAGCCAAGAAGGATGCACGCTCTCATGGGACTTCAATGTGCATTTCGCAGTAACATTGAAGAGTCACTCCTCTTTTTAATTCATTCCCCCCAGCTCTACCCCATACTGCACCCCAGCAGGTCAGCCATGTGTACTTTAATCCAAGAACATGTTAAATTTCTGGGTTTTCCACCTGGATGCAGGGGCAGATGCAATTCCAAGCATAACCATCAGGTGGCAGAATGACTGCACATACCTGCTTGAGTAAAAAAGTTCTGCTCCGGACAAAGACAGCCTTTAGGGAAAATGTGCACTGGAAGGGTGTCTTTGGGACATCTGCACCCCTTTCTGATCTGTCTCCCTGATCTAATGCTGCCTGTTGAATCTCCAAAACATTCCCTAACTTTTCCCGTGGGTAGACCACCAGGCATCCCTTCCCTTCCTCCATAACCATTACTCCCATGTCCTGCCCATTCATCAATAATCACATGGGTTGAATAATCACATACTAATTCCTCTGGGTTATTTGCAGCTCAAAAGAAAATGCTTACCCACAGGAACCTTTAACTCAGGAGTTCTTAACTTGGGGTCCACCACCCCAGTGGGTCCATTATTGGACTTCAGAGGGTCTAAGAATTTAGCATATGTGTTCTTATGCGTGTTTTCAGGAGGGCTAAAGCTTTCATAAGATTCTCAAAGGTCTCAGACGCACAAAGGTTTAAAAACCACTATTTTAACTGAAAGTGGAACTTTCAGCCCAAGGTTTCTGCAATGCAGAGTGAACACTGGCAGTTTGAGACAGATTTTTAGTTGTAAGTGGTCTTTGCAAGTGTCCTTGAAATCAATGGGGAAAGTTGGAACCCACCAAGAAGTGGAAGTCCTCAGAAATTCTTGGCACACCTAGGCTGTGCACAACCTACACCCCACACAACTTCATCCCCTCTTCCCCCACCGAACCAGAGCAGGTATTACAGCCAGGAGCATGTGAAAGTAGACTTTCCAGCTGGTGATATTTTCCAGCAATGTATTATTGACTTCACATCCCTTGCCTGGCTCTACCTGAGGCTCAGCAGTGCATGACTTCTTGTAGATAGTTCCACAGCTACCACTCACCTCCAACACCTGCCCTTGCCCAGTAGGAATAGGCAGTGTCGAGCTCCCCTCCATCCACCCTCCTGCTGACTGCCTCAGACCCAAACCAGTGAACTGTGAATTTCAAGCAAGAAATGTCACCAGGCATTCTTCTTGCCCAGCTGGCCACTGGCCCAAGGGGGCCTGCCTGGCTAGTCTTCCCTACTTTACTACTCAGGCCACTGCTGTTGCATTACATCCATCCCTTTGCAGAATCCCTAAAGAGCCTGTCACCACTCCCTTCCCTGTTCCCCAACTCCCCCACCCCAAATTCAGGTGAAAACAAAGTTTAAGAAAAAGGATTGTAGTTTTAAAATAAAGCACTTACGAAGGCTTAATGAATTGTAAATAATTTTTAAATAAAATGAAAATGCTTTTCCTTGAATGTGACTGTTTTCCTTGCCCCTGAATCTCAGAGTTCTGGAGTGGTTTCATTTGAGATGCAGGTTGGGTGGAGCTCACATGTGATCATCTCACCTGGGGCCCACCTGCCTGAACAGGCTTGTTCTGAAGGCCAGGTGTTAGGCTGCGGTTAAGGTTACAGGAAAAGTGCTGGTGCTCTACTCTGGGAAGCCAGATGGGTAAGATTTTGCAGGAGCAAATGCTAGAAATGGAAAGTAAAACCCAAATGAGAAGCCAGAGTGTGAGTGAGGGCAAGAAAGAAGCACTAAGACAGTATTTGTTGAACACATGTGATGCATGACACACTGGTGGGGACCTTCCAAGTTCAAGGTCTTGGGGGCCAGACTCAGCCAAGCCCTTGAGGCAACATGCTAGTCACAGTGGCTTGCTTTTGCAGACTATTTGGAGAGGAGCCACAGTGGTCCAACTCTAGCAGTTTTCCAGCAAAGGCTGGGAAAAGGAACAGGGGAGTGGACCAGGCTAATTGGTCAGTTTTAAACCAATGCAGCCGGGAGGGACCCCCAGACAGGTGGGAAGGTGTGTTAGAGTATTAAACATCTGTGTCATGGGAGGAAGGTTGGGATCTGACACCTGCGACCAGTCTCAAACCAGCACCCAGGACGATTAGTGGCGTACTCCAGGACAATTTAAGATTTTTCCCAGGAGCCTCCATAGAAGCTCTTAACTTCATCAACGGTAAAAGTAAGCAATAGTAACAATTATTTTGCTGAGGGCTTTATGTGCCAAGTTTTGTGCTGAGTAGACATTAGCTCGTTTCTCAGAAACCACCCTGTGAAGGTCTGTTTTGTTTTAGTCACAAAGTGGGCTCTGATCATTTAGGTGACTTGCTCAAGGTCACACAGCCAGGAAGTGGCAGAGCATGGAGGTGTGCCCTCCTTGTGAAACCATCGTATCTCTGAAGTTCACAGTGCACGGCTGCACGCGGAAGGCCCTGGAAAGTCCTTCAGCAAAAAAATGGGCCATAACTTCCTAAGCCCAGTTTTTCCCAAGCTTACCGATGTTAACATACTGGGGGAAAATACTGACTAAAAGGTGTGTAAGAATAGAATGAAGAAGGCCAAACTTCCATTGAGATAAGGACTTTTTTTTTTAACGCTAAAAATATTTTAGCACTTTGGTAGAGGCACTTTGGTTTACAGAAATATTTTTTAAACATTTTTCTTTAGCTCCTCCTCCTCCACAAAGAGAAAAATTAAATTTTCCCTTACAAGAGAAACTAAACACCAGGAAAGAAGATTTTGTCTGATAGGACTGTGCATTGGAGGGCTATAAACCATTTTAATATCTTAGACATTTTTTGCCCTCTTGCAGGAAATATCCTCATTGAGAGCTTTGAACCCTGGTTTAAAAAACTGCGCTTGGGGAGCTTGACAGAGGTAAAATCATTTTGTTCCTATTCTGCCTATGTTCCCTTATTAACAAGCATCTTTAAATAGGAAGGAGAATAACACTGAGAGGAAATGGAATGGAAGGTAACAAGGTGTGAGGTCATTTCATCACTTTTTTAAAACTTTTTAAAAATTTTATTGGAGTGACATTGGTTAATAAAATTACATAGGTTTCAGATGTATAATTCTATAATATATTATCTGTATATTGTACTGTGTGTTCACCAAAGTCAAGTCTCCTTCCATCACCATTTACATTTCATCACTTTAAATCCGTTCTCATCACCAGCCCAACTGCACACTTGAAGAGTGTTCTCTGAAGGATCAGGCAGAACGGTGAGGGGTTGGAAACCATATTCTGTGTAGGAACAGTGAAAAATGGGGGGAGGGAGGAGGTTCGCATAGAAAAGCAGAAACTAGGAATAACTGCTACTTCAAATATTTAAAACGCTACCAACTAGAAGTGCCAGTGGATTTAATGTCTGTGGTTTAAAGGAAGGAAGGAGACGGGGGAGGAGAAAACAAGCAGATCAAATTCTGGATCAAGGTAAACCACCTCTTTAATTAAGGTGCTCCATCCATAGAATGGGGATGCAATGCTTCACCAAGTGTTGAAAGAATTCACCACCACCATCCCCAGTTGAAAATGGAAAGTCAGGGACAACATGGGAGACTATAGCACTGGGGGAGAGAGGCTGGCGTTAATGACTTCAAAGACCCCAGTCATCCCTCAAGACTAGGATTTTATAACAAAGGCATCCTAGAAAGGGGCAGATCCTGTCAAAATAAGAATTATCTTTCACTGTTTTCAAAGTCAAGACTCAAATTCTGTAAGACCTTTAGGAGAAAGTTCCTTGGACTCTGGAAAATGTGACCTGTGCTCAAGGAGCTCTAACAGATCAGGAGATACTTGACTGCATTGGGCAGCGCTGTGTTCTAGAATCACCCTGAAGGATGTCAACCCTTCTATGAATCCATGAAGTCTAGGGCCTTAAAAATTACAGTAAGACAGCTGGCCTCTGAAGGACAAACCCAGAAAACTGGCAAAGAGCTGTGGAGCGGCGCGTTCACTAGAGGGAAGCCTGTTGCAAGAACATATGTTAGCTTTTTATTTAGCAACTAGTACATCGCTCTATAGCATTCATTTTAATTCATGGGTTATAACCCATTAGCGGGTCACGAAATCAAATTCCACAGGTTCTCAATCAGCACTTTTATTTCTTCAGTGAAATGGAACACAACAAAGTAGAATGGACTAGAAAAATAATCAGAATGCATTGCACATAGAAGGGCAAGTACCGTTTTGTGAAACTTTTCAGTTCAATGTGTGCATGTGTGTGATATAAATATATTTATTTCTTACCATGGCTGCCCTAGGGAACTAAAGCTTAGGGCTAGGGACACAATCATGCGGAAAGAGCAGGGAGACAGACACTCCGGGTAGAGATGACGAGTTTTAATGACAGACAACACCTACAATCACACGTGCTTCTTTAGACAATTTGAATTTTGGGACTAGACTTCGTAGAGAGTCAAGCAATACACAGAAGCACACAAGTGACGCAGGCAAGACTCCTGCTTCTAGCAAGGGGGCAATATATCTATGTCTCATGATCAAAGTACCGTTTTATTCTTAAATAGAAAGCATAATTTGCTCTGGCCTCCAAAAGGGCTCTAATCCCAGGCCTGCGTTACTTTCCAAGGGATGCTCTCTTCATGTGGGGCCAGTTTAAGCAGAGGCCACCTCTCCAGAGCGGGCTTTCAGTCCCACAAAAGTCTGATTTGTGATGTGTACAACTAGGTTTGGGCAGGCAGGGAACAGACATGACAGGACTGCTTTGGTGGTGCTGGTTTCACTGTTGCTTCTTCACTGGATTTTGGTGACTGCTTCATAGATGGAGGTGGCCACATAATCTATATTTTTGCTGGTTAAGCCACACATGTTGATCCGACCACTTGGCAGCAGGTAGATGTGCTTTTCATTGACCAGATATTCAACCTGCTTGGCTGTTGAAAACCAAAAGAGATATGTAATCATAGTAGGAATCCTTTAAGCCATGGAGGCTCAGCGATTCCATGACAATTAGTTTCCCTTCTTTCTCCGTAACACAGAGAAGCAAAACAAAAGGAATTATTTTGTCCAACTGGTATACAGGGAAATATGCTCAATCAGTTCTGAAAACTAGGCTTATTAGCTAACTTTCTAAGCCCCAAAAAGTTCAGTATCGCTCCTCCTCATGGGAATTTTAATCTGGGACTACCTCCCAACCAAACCTTGTACATCCCATCCATCAGGACACCCTATCAACTAAAACAACCCTCAGACTTAAGAGCATACCATGGATATGAAAAACTGGTTATGAAGTGCTTCCTTCTTCTCTTCCTTAACCTGTATTTGCTTATCCTTAGGCACCTAGCAGCAACCTCCCATTGACATTTCCTTCTCACAGTCCACTGTACAAGGTCTATACTTGAGAAGAGCTAGATAAAGGCTGTGTGCATGAACCAACGGGCCGAAAACTGCAGACACCTCTCAGACCTGGCACTTCTCAGCTCTCTCTTTCAAACATAAGCAGGAGCTCCTTCCCAAGTGTTTGCAGAACTTCTTGTGGATAAAGTAGGAAGGGATGCCTGTACTTCCTTTGTGTTACCATCTCTACAGCTCTTTTGCTTTATTGCAAAGCCACGAGAGAATTTCAGCTGATTTTTGTCTTATTTGTACCCATAAGACACCATCAATTTAAGGGAATGGGATAATAATCATGTCACGCACTGAATGTCTGTATCCCTCCAAAATTCATGTTGAAAGCCAAACCCCCAATGAGACAGGACTGGGAGGTGGGGCCTTAGGCAAGTAATTAGTTTTAGATGAGGTCATGAGGGTGGAGTCCCATGATGCAGTAGTGCCCTTCTAAGATGAGACAAAAGGCAGCATGCTCTCTCTTGCCATCATGTGAGAAGAAAGCGAGAGCACAGCCACCTGCAGGTTGGGAAGAGAATCCCCACTAGAACCAGACCAAGCTAGTACACTGTTCTCAGACTTCTCAGTTTCAGAACAGTGAGAAATAAATTTCTATTGTTTAAGTCACCCAGTCTACATTTTGTTACAGCAGCCCAAGCTAAGATGGTAATAAAATCGTAATAATCAGAGGAGCAAACACCGTGCCAGGCAGTATCCTAAGCACTTTATATGAACTCAGTTCATCTTCATTTTAACCTTCTCCTCCCCATTTTACAAATGTTGCAGAGGAGAGTCAAGTGACCTTCCCAAAGTCCCACAGCCAGCCAGTGCTGGATCGGGGATTTTAAGGCAGGCAATGTCGCCCCTGATTCTGAGTTCTTAGGCATCATACTTCGCTACCTCTGTATGGAAGCAGAAAATCTGGACCCTATGCACTGGGCTAACTGCGGGCCCCTCCAAACAAAGGGACCTTCAGAAGTAGCTGTCACAGCTTTAGCTGTGTGAATTAGGGTTATCCAAGAAAATAAAGACTAGCCTCACATAGCAATACAGCCATAGGCAAACCACTATTTGTAAATCCCATGCCCCAGTGGCAGATGTGGTTACAGGTCTCCCATTCTGATTTTTAAAATAAAAATGAAACTGCTCTACTTTTGCGGGGGAGGGGAACATCACAGTTGAGAAGTTAGTAAGAATTATAGACTCCTACCCTAGAAAGAGGCCAATACGCACACACACAATTTTTAAAATATCATTTCAGGGGCTCCACAGGCCTCCTAAAGCACACCCATGGACTACAGGTGGAACGCTCCTGTTCTGATGAATAAATGTAATAAAGGAAGTACTATAACATGAAAATTGTAGATGCTAGGTGATGGGTATATGGGGTTCTCTGCACAATTCCTCCAACTTTTCAGTATGTTTAAAATTTTTCCCAATCAAGCATTGGGAGGAGAAAAGAAAAACAAACACCTGTTTTTAAAAAGCATTAATGGTGCCAGGTACTAAAAACTGAACTTTTGGATTATAAGCACAGTCTAGTCTCACCATTCTTTAGTTCGTAATAAAACTAATTTCTTACTCTGGAGAGTGGGATGACATAGGAGGTATGTGAAGCTGACGTTTTATGGGGAAAGATCCCCATCCTGTGAGCTTTTAGAATATTACTATTCAACACCATTTCCATTACACTTAGTATTTTTAAAATTGTAGAAGGATTATTTTACTCATTCAGGTGAACTAATCCCCCATTCCAGAATCATGAGGACAACTATGGCTAAACGAGCTATCCCTTCACTTTCTTGGGTAGCCTCTCACCTTGCCCCAAAGTATTTCAAGAGGTCCTCAGCATACTATCTCCGCCATCTTTCTTGTTTTTATATTTTTTTCCTTTGGCTTTTTCTGAGCTCATTTCAAATGGGAATTCTGATGGCCCTGGTTTATAGTACCTTCCAGCACCTCTGATGTCCCACTTATTACCCAAGCTAGGCACACAGCACCATGCAACCCAAGCTTGGCCAGTAGGTGCTTGGGAATAGCTTATGAAATGAATGAGCCTTCTATCATTGGAAAGGACAGCCAACTGGAATAGGCCTTACTGACAGCGGACCAAGATCGCATGTGTCTGTCCACTGGACATTCAATTGTCGTTTAATTCCAACTACCAATCTAAGTTCTTATTTATGAAATGGAAAGATAACTTTGAAACTTCTTTTTGAGGGCAATGCCTGGAGACCAGCAAAGACCTGTTAAGAAACTAGGTCTCTGAATAATCATATATAACATTCATACTTTGGATTAAGGAGGAGCCCAAAGGTACCCGAGGATTTATGAGACCCTGTTACTTGCCAGCTGGCTGTGAGCTGCTTCTCTGTCCACAAAAATGAAGACATCCTAATTATGGGAGGCAGGACAGACCATAGCAATGCTCTCCTGCGACCCACGGAGTTCAGGAGATGGATGGGGCACACTGAGAAAACCTAACTTGTACTGGTCCAAAGCTTTGGTTGACCAGTTCGGCAACAGCTAATGCAGCTGAGCCCAAGGATGCTGACTGAGAGGAATGAGTGCTGTGTCTAACAGTGAGCATTCGCGGGCATGGGGCCACTTACGGTTCAACCCCGTGAAACTGAACATTCCAATTTGATCAGTGATGTGGTTCCAGGTGCCAGGGGTCTTGAGAGCTTCTAATCGTGCCCTGAGTTCAGATCTCATGGTTAGAATCCGGTCCGCCATTGTCTTCACATTACCTGTCCTGAGTAGACAGTAACATAAATACTAATACAGATAGGAGAGACTACACATGAAAACACATAGGTTTAAAAACCACAATTTAACTTATAAGCTGAAAATGGGATCATGAGCTGCCTGCTATGGTACGTGGATGCCTGGATGCATGGAAAAGCAGGCCAGAGAGAGAGAGAATTACCAGGCAGAAGAGACGACTATATTTACTGATGGAATTCTGGTCTTGGGCATACTAGCTGTTATACCTCCTATGCTTTAGACTTCACCGAGGTATTGATCTAGACAGAATGATGCCCGATTTTATCAGGCCTAATTAAGTAAAGATTTCGAATTCAGCTACTTTGTAAAAATTATTCTACTTCAAAATAAGACAAAATATATGTAAAGTTGTTAAGAATGAGGAACCCTCAGCCCTGGCTGGTGTGGCTCAGTGGATTGTGTGACAGTTTGTGAACCAAAGGGTCACCAGTTTGATTCCCAGTCAGGGCACATGCCTGGGTTGCAGGCCAGGTCCCCAGCTGGGGGCGCATGAGAGGCAAACATACACTGATGTTTCTCTCCCTCTTTCTCCCTCCCTTCCCCTCTCTCTAAAAATAAATACATAAAATCTTTTTTTTTAATCTAAAAAAAAAAAGAAGAAAAAGGAGCCCCTAGATTGTCGCACCAACTTGAGGCTGGATTTCCTGTTTCCCAACTTTAAGGGGATGAAGCCGGGTGGTGGGGGCATCGGGGAAACTCACATTCATCTAGTGTCTCTTCCTAGATTCTCGGTGCTTGTTAGACACACGTGTTGTATTACACACATGACAGTAGGTGGCAGCCCTATTTTATAGAAATATCTGAGACTTAAAAAGGCTAAAGTAATTTTGTTCTGCCTCTGCCAAAATAAAAGGAAAAGACAGTTGCCTGTGATGGGACAATTACTGTTCTACACCCCCACCCCCTGCCCATCAGGCTGTGAACCCCTTACCATTCCTTAAAGAGCTCAGGGTCAGAGAGGGTAGTGGCCACGATTCGCGCTCCCTGAGCAGGGGGGTTGGACCAGGTAATTCGCACAATCTTCTCCATCTGGGAAAGGACCCGCAGGATGCTATCAGACTCTTTTGCAACCACGGTCAGATTCCCCACACGCTCATCTAGAAACAGGGACAAGAATTAGCCTGGGTGGCCCTGATGAGGGCAGGGTGGGCTGGGTGGGTCTGTAACTCAGAAGAGCACTCACTGTACAGCCCGAAGTTCTTGGAGAAGGACTGGGCACAGAAGAGCTCGAATCCTTCAGACACAAAATAGCGAATGGCCCAGGCGTCTTTCCCTAGGTCTCCAGATGCAAAGCCCTGATAGGCTGAGTCAAAGAAGGGAAACAGAAACCGGCGCTGCAAGAAAGGAGAGTGAGTCAGGGCAGGAAATCCTTCTGGATCCAGCCTCAGACGCTGGCTTTCTTTCCCCAACGGGTGCCTGAAAGGAATTCCTAACACTGTCCATTTCACCTATTCCTCTTTTTTCTGCATCCAACCACCACTTTAAATCTGTTTCTCTGTTCAACTAAAGACCAGCCCCCAAATCTAACAATTTCAATAAACCTTGCATTTTTAAAGTATTAATATATCATTTTTGAGGCATGGAGGTAGTGTCTGTCCTGCGCTGGTCAATTCTTTCCCATGAATTCCTGGTGTGATAAACTTAGTCAAATGTCTGCTGGTATCCCCAGGGCCTCTTCACAACCTCAAGGCTATTCTACTGCACACCCAAGACCAAGAAGACTGCACGCTCTCTATTCTAATTACACCTGTCTTCTCAAACACCTCCCTCCACTTAACTTGCTCCTCCGACTGGGCTCACTCTCTTTGTGGACACCATCTTCCCTGCCCCCAACCATCGAAGCCAGAGGCCAGGGTGCATCCTCCACTCCTGCTTCTGCAGCTCATCCCTCACCTCCACTCATCCTCCAAGTCCTATCACTCCTGAGAGCTCTAGAATCCTTTCATGTCTGTCACTGCCCCCTACTTAGCTCAGGTCCCTATCAGCTCCTACCTGGGTTATAGTAATAGCCTCCTACCTGCTCCCCCAGTCTGTCTAATCTTGACTCCCTCCGACCCACCGCCTGCCATGCAGCCAAGGTAACTTGAAGACAATGCACATCCAATCACGTCACCCCATGACATCCAAGATTTTCAGTGGCTCCTCACTTCCCCCAGAATGAAGTCCAGTGTCTCAGCACAGGCTCTGGCCTCCATTTACGACTCCAGCTTCATGACTCATGCTTCCCCAACTCCCTAGGAATCTAGGCCAGGAATTACTTTCATTTCCTTAAACAAGCCATGAGCTCTGCACCCTGGGCTTTTGGCCATATTCTTCCCCTTGCAAGGAATATATTCCTGCTCCTCCAGCCCCAGTCTGTCCTCATCCTTCAAGTCGCAACATGAAAACCACTTCTTCCTGGAAGACTTCTGCCACTCCCACCCCTCCCGACACCCCCACCCCCTTCCCGAAGTCAGGGCTGTGTGCTTCCCTGAACGCAACCAACACATCTGTCTCCCAGTACTCGGCTGTCTCCGCAGACAGGCTGAGTATACGCTCTTTGAGGGCAGGGACCATCTCTGCTTTGTTCACCAGTGCATCCCCGTGCTGCTGGTCACATGCCTGTTTCTCAGCAAGTGTTCTTTAAGCACATTAATGAAGAACATATACTCTGTAAGCTAGAAACTACAGTCTAGAAAGTTATCCCAAAGAAATAATATAATGGAGTTGACATAATTGCTCGTAAGAGCGAGAAACCTAAGATCTTAATGTCCATCAACTGATTTAGTCAATTGCTAATGGGATATAACTGGGCACAGAAAACAATGCTACAAAACAGTTAATGACATATAAAGGAGCTCAAATAAAAGATAAAGTATATTATAAAGCAGTATAGACAAAATGATCCCATCTTTGTGAAATAGATATATTTATATGTATAACTACACTTTAAAAAAAAGACAAAACCAACTTACACTCTGCACCAAAATATTAACAGTGGTTTTCTTTGGGTAATAGGATTTACAGTTAATATTTATTTCCTTCTTCAGGCTCTTCTCCATTTACAAGTTCTTCAGTAAATAGGTATGGCTTTTGAATATATTAAATGTTAATACATGTATTTTTTTAAGAGATGCTTTGAAAAGGCAGTTACCTTCATGACAGTGGCAATCTTTTTCCACTGATCTGGAGTTGGGTCCGTCCCAGTTGGGTTGTGTGCACAGGCATGGAGGACAAAGATGGAAAACTCAGGAGCGTTCTGGGGAAAAGGAAGCTACGTCAGCTCTGACACTAGCAGGAACGTGGAGAAACAGAGTCAGTGGCACATTGGTCAAGGGTGACATATTCCATCCTTATGTGCCATTTCAGAAATCATTGTCTGGTTTGGGTAGGATCTCTCAGACTCTCTCACTAACTGACCCAGAAACTTTCCCCTGCTCCTCATGACACCATCAGGTTGTTTACTTTTTCATCTCATTACCCACCTCCAAATCATTCAGGAAACCCTGGAGGTCAAGCCCTCTCTTCGCTGCATCCCAATAGTGATAGGACCGGATGTCTTTAAATCCAGCAGCAGTAAACACAGCATTATGATTCTCTGCAAGCAAAGGGGTAAAACATTAAACACTTTTACAAACACAAGGGGACATAACTGAAAGGACATAAGTCAACCTTTAGGGCCCTGGGATGTCCACTGCATGACAGTGAGGTGAGGGGTTAAGATTTAGAAGAATGATTGTAACTAAAAACAAATTTAGCCAGTCTTATTCATACTAAACTTACATCCTAATATAGATACAGGAATTGCTTGTACCTACATTTTATGGCTCCTCTGGGAAGTTTCAACGTACATGAAAACACAAGTCTACCAAGAGTTCAGGGAAAAAGTATTCCAAAGTGAATGTGAGCATCAGCTTACTTATGTCCTGCCATAATCCCCTGCTCAAGCCGTTGCCAAATGTTAGGGGACCCAGGGCTAGGTTACATGTTCTAGATAAGTGGCGAGAGTCATGAGGATAATTGCCCCTGGCTTCTCTGTTTCTCCTCCCGATTTACCTCAAGTATGATACTCCTAAAGAACTCACCCCAGGTTGGTGAGGATACGTAGACAGGCGTGTCCTTGTTGTTTGTCCCGTTGTACCATCGTGCTAAGAACTCAGCTCCAATTCGAAGTGCACCCGTTCCCCCCAAAGACTGCACACCTCCTGCCTGAAACAAAACAAGCAGGGTCACTGGTTGGTAACAGAAAAATACAGTAATGAAGAGTACTTACTTTGCATCTGCTCTGTGCTAAGCCCTTTAAATGTACTATCTCATCAAACCTCACAACTACATGAAGAAGATGCTGTTATTTGCCCCTGTTTACAAAGGAGGAAACTGAGGCTGAGAGGTGAAGCACCTCACTCAAAGGTACCTGCTAACCGAGCAGCAGGGCTCTTCAACCCAGAGAGTATGAAGTCTGATTCTTAGCGGAGCTTCCTTTCTGTAGTATGACATCATCGACATCAACCTGTAATACTCCTTTCTCCTTCTCTAATGCAGGCTTATTAATCCTTAGAAATATGTCCTAACAAAACAAAGGTGACACGTGAAAACTCCTTTCTTCTCCTTGAGCTTCATTCCATCTTAAAATGGCCTCACATGGTCAATAATAAAAGTCCTAAATTTTACCATTTACAAAATATTTTCCCCTACATCCCTATTTGATCCTCATGCAGTCCCATAAAGTAAGTTCTACATCCACAATTTACATGAGGAAATCGATTCAGAATAGTGGTTTGCAAAGGCTACACAGCTGGTGAGCAGCAGAGCTGGACATCAGTCCAAGTCTTCTCCCTCTAGTCACATGCCATGCTTATGTAGTTCTGCCTATGTCTTTGATTTTGCCATTTCACAATTACAACCAGGTTTTAGCATAACTCTGTCAGTAGAGAAATGGCATAAATTACATGTTGCTTACTCTGTTTACAGGATTAAGGAGAAAAGAGAACACATGAGAACGTCTATCTCAATAAAGGGAAGAGGCACATACCAAGCTAATAACAGTGGCAGCCTCTGGGAGGGGCCCAAGCTAAAGAGAACAGTGGTCAAAGGGACTGTGGCCGAACCTGTAAATTGTCTTGTAAAAATAAGGAGAGTGTATTCCTGCTTTATGTGTAAAATTTTAAAGTAACTTTTAAAATATATTGTGATGTCTTGGATCTGCTGTAAAAGAGTTCAGCTTTGGCAGGGGGCGAGGAGGTACACAAGGCTCTGGCCAAATGCAGATCATTGTGGAAGCCAGATGATGGACACACGGAGGTTTGGTCATCACACTGTTTCATCTATTTTGTGTATATTTGAAATTTCCCACAATAAAAGGGTAAAAATAAAATCCTAGATAAAGAAGAAAAGCCTCCACAATCTTTTTTAAAAAACAAACATAACACAGATGCTTGAAGATGACAAAAACAAAAATAGAAGAAAGGGAGAGACTCAGCTCTTTCATTAATATTGATACTAACTTTCCAAATAAACATTAATGAACAGTATGAATTCAACAGTACATTTAAAACTACCCCTTTGATCAAGTGATAATCTTCCCACGAATGCATGATTATTAAGGTATACATTATAAAATTTGTGATGCTTCTAAATAGAGAAAATCTGAATGATCATCATAAACAGATGAGAAAAGCAACATAGCCATTTCTGATATAAATGCTCAGTAAGACAGAAAACAATCATACATCCTGAAAATAACTGGGAAAAACATTCATTCAGCCATGATGAATAAGTAAGCCTCATGATGAACAATGAGTCATTAGCCGAAATCCCCTTTAAGCCATAAACAAGGCAATGCTCCCTATCGCCACATCATTCCTCACTGTCCTATTTATATTCTGAGATATTCACATCTGTGAAAGAATACTGTCTGAAAGAAGAAACAGAAGCAAAGCTGAGGTTCTAGGAAATGCGAAACTGAGCACAGCTGTACACTGCAGGGAGAGGCAAGAGCAGCGGACTTGCGTGAGAATGCCGGTGCCCGTCAGCCCTGGCACAGTAGCTTCCCCGCTCTTCAGTGGCCCTGGCCAAGCACGGGGCCCTTCCCATTACATGAAAGGTTTTGCTTCCACCACTGTGATCTATCTGGATTCTTTCATGCAAATCTGTATCAAGGTGATGTAACCTACATGTGCATTTATTTTTCATGGATTTGTCACTAGCTAAATTGAATGTCAACTCTATTCACTATTTCACATTTCGAACATGTAAGCAACTCTGGAATGGTGACATTTCCTATAAAATGAGCAAGGTTTCCCTAAAACAAGGTTTTAAGTTATCATCAATATGTAACAGGTGCATGTGGCTATCAGAGAAAACATTCTCAGGGATGATTTTTGCCCCCTATGCTCAACTCTTAATTCTACTTTTCCTCTCCCAGTCCAGAAAGCACATTCATTAATCAAAAGAAGTCAGAAAGTCAGTAGATGATTGAAAATGTGTTTGAAGAGATAAACCCACTTCACTAACATGAACTGATCCTTGATATTCATGATGTTATAATACTTAACAAATCAAATTCTCAAGAAACTACCACTCTCTAAAATATATATATCGAACAATGAATGGCTTCAGTGATATACCAGTTGCTCTGCATTACATCTGCATTAACAGAAACAAACTTACAATGACTCAATAATGTAGCAATTTGGTCATTCTGTCAAGTGATTTTTGGCAAATTGCTCCAGAACCCAGAAAGCTCTGCATTTGGGATGAAGGAACATCATAATATCAAAGGAAATAAATACATATTTCTCAAGAAGCCAGACAACAAGACCTAAGTGGCTAAAAAGGGATCTCCAGAACAAGGGAAATCCAGTAAGCTTTGCTGTGAAACTACGTCAGCAGATCATCTGTACTCCTGACACAGTCACGCTATCTGAAGAAATCCCTGCTAGCCTCTAGAATATTTGTCTGGATCACAGACTGCTAATGTGAAAACTTCACTGTGAAGGGCAGGATGACTCAGTAGAAGCTGCTTGCAGTCAAGGTCATATCGCACTGCTCTGGATGCCCATAGCAATTCATACAGTATCTGGCATATCGTCCTAAATACACATGGACTCAACTAGACAGACAGAGGGACGACGATAAGAGGAGCGCCACAGCATAAATCTCACGCCTCCCAGTCGCAATGGTCAAAGCAAGAAACTGGAGTGTCATCACATGGCCCACACATCCCCCCACCTACAGTGGCTCAGTAATTTCAGAAGCTGAAACGCTACCATGCAAGAAATGAAAACTGGACATTTTGTTTGGATCCTCTAGTCTAAAGAGGAGAAAGCAGTAAGAGGTGGTAAGGATCTAGAAAATAGGCCTTCTCAAATGGTTGTCAGACCTGGTCATGTTAAACCTTGAGAAGAAAAACCTAAGGGAAGATGATTACTGTTTTCTGGTTCATTCATTCTTTCATTCATGCTTTATCTCCTCAAGTCTTCACCCAAACGTCATTTCTATTCTATCATCCTAGTTAAAACTGTAACCACCTATTACCATCCTAGTTAAAACTCTAACCACCCTCACTCCTACCCTCAGAGTCCAAATATGCCTTCCCCCGCTCTAGTTTTATAGCATTTATCGTCTTTTAATGTACTACATCATGTTCTTATTTATCATGTTTATAGTTGGTTTCTCGCCACAAAACTCTAAGCCAGCACAGGGCACTTGGGGCGTTTTGATCACCGCTGTGCTCCAGCATCTGGAACAGTGCCTACCCCTAGGGGTGAGCACCCATCTGTTGACTGAATAAATGAGTAAATTCAAACATCTGAGGATCTCTGAGGTACCGGCCAGGAGCTAAATGGTGAAGATCTGCAAGATAAATAGACAAGCCATCATCCCTGCCCTGGGGAAGTTATGGTCTGGTGGGAGAGAGACTTATAAAATTATAAAACTAATTATACTTATAAAATTAGTAAGCACAGTAATTACTGTCATTCCCAAGCTGTGAGCAAAGTCCTGTGATAACTCAGACTCCAACAACTAGCTCTGCCTGAAAGAGCTAAGGATTCAGCATGGAGGTAAGACTTGCTCAGGCCTTGAAGCACTTGAAGGTGGTGACTGGGGCTTTCAAGAGGTATGGGGGGCATTCACAGCAAAGAAACACCTGAGGCAAAGACTCTGAGAATGACAGGACTCTGCGGGGGAAAGGCAGAAGGGTGTGAATAACTGAAAAAACATGATGAATGAATAGCTATAAATATGCCCAGTTCAAAGTCTGGATTCTACCTTGTAGATAATGGAGGAGCTATTGTGCATGAGAAAGAAGGAGCAGGTGCCATGGTTAGCTTTTTTTTTTCTTTTTTCTTTTCTTTTTTTTTTTTTTGCTAAGGAAGACAATTCTAGCTGCACTATGCAGAATATACTGGAATAGAAAAGAGACTAAAGGCAGGAGGTTAGTAAAAGAATCCAAATGAGATGGTGGTGGGCTGAACTGATACAGGAGCCTGGGGGTGAAGACGTCCAGGGACAGAGGAAGGGCTCAGAGCTCACTATCAACTGGTACCTAGGGTGACATAGTACCATTCCTTCCCTACCAAAAACTTCAACTATTTACACGCAACTATTTAAATTTGTCCTATGATCAAAAACAACACAGGATGAACTGGACTAAGAGGGAGGGCTACATTCCACAAGCAACAGCCCTAAGTCTTATAGCATTAAGTGATCATAAATGGGGAGCATTAGACAGAGAACAAGAATCTGCCAACACAGTTAATAAGTGTATATGAATGCACAGTCTCCTGGCTGGTGTGGCTCAGTGGATTGAGTGCTGGCCTGCGAACCAAAAGGTCACTGGCTCAATTACCGGTCAGGGTACATGCCTGAGTTGTGGTCCAGATCCCCAGTAGGGGGCTCATGAGAGGCAACCACATTTTGGTATTTCTCTCCCTTTCTCCATCCCTCTCCCTCTCTCTAAAAATAAATAAAAATCTCAAATAAAAAAAAAGAAAGAAAAGAAAAAAGAATGCACAGTCTTAGAGGAAGAAGTTTCCCAACACAGAATCTCTATTTTCATTTGTCAACAGAATTCCAACTATCAACAGTATCTCAGAAAATAGCCCCAGTTGCCAAAGTTCCCCACTTTCAACTTCATCAGGACACTCCTCTCCCTCTGTGGAAACACTGGATTATCAGAGCAACTCCCCAGTGTCACCGACAATCTCTAAACTCTACCCCCTCCACCGTATTCCCCTTCAGTTCCTTGAGGCAAGTATCACAGCCTCTCACATCAATCCAGACAAAATGCTAATTAAGTTAATTACTTGCCTTATTACTGACCTGAGTTCCAAGAAATTCACTTGACCCTGCAGCCCTGTTTATCAGGGCATATGGGTAACAGCACGTGGGGATAAATCAGACAATGCCAAGACAAGGTGTCTTCCACGCATAAGGACTGCACTAGACAACAGCCCAAGGAAGCAATAAGGGCCGCTGGTTTAAATTGCTTAATACCTAACTATACTATTGCAAAAACCTGAGCTCTTCCCCTTCTTAATCATCCAGCCAAGTTTATTTTCTTCAAATACTTGCATTGAGTAACTCCTCTGCTCAAACCCTCAGGTGTCTTCCCCTGCCCTGGCTGCCAAAACCAGCCTGCCTGATCTATCCAACATACTCCCAGCTCTAATCAGAGAGGTCTCTTCACATCTAGGCCTGCTTACCACTAACCTCTGGCCCTGGACTCCCACTAATTCAGATAAATATTGAGTACTTTTCCTCTGCACCTTGTGGTTCTCAACCCTGCTATACTTTGAAATCACCTGGAAGGCTATTAAAAATTGCCCATGCCCTGGACAGTGTTGCTCAATTGGTTGGAGCACCTTCTCATGAACCAAAAGGTCCCCGGTTCAATTCCTAATTAAGGCACATGCCTAGGTTGCGGGTTCAGTTCCCAGTCTGGGTAGGTACAGGAAGCAACCAATGTTTTCTCTGGCATCAGTGTTCCTCTCCCCATCTCTCTCCCTCCCTTCCCCTCTAAAATCAATAGGCATGTCCTTGGGTGAGGATAAAAAATAAATAAAAATGCCAAAAGGAAGGGGACTGACAGGGAAAGGTAGTGAAAGGGTGTGATGGTGGATGCCTCAAAGGTTCTAATTTAACTTGTCTGGTACAAGGTCCAGCCATCAGCATGTTTTTTAAAATTCCCCAGGTGATACTCATGTACAGCCAGCACTGGAAACCGTTGTTCTGACCTCATTCCCCAAGGTTCAGCTGAAGTCTCATCGTTGGCCATTACCAGCCTCCCTCTTCTCTGAATCCCTACAACACTAAGAATCTCCACAATACCACTTCGTGCCACAGAGAGCCTCTCTTGCTGGCTGCTTCCAAATGTGTCTTCCATGTGTCTCCAGCTGTACACAGACTATATGCCAGGAAGCACTTGAATGAGAAGCTGAGATCAAGGCTAGAACAATGAAAGGTTATTAGAACTGACAGGAACTTCAGAGAGCATCTAAACTAGTGGTCCTTGAATTTTGGGGGGTCACAGACCCCTTTAGAAAATCTGATAAAGATTACAAATCTTCTCCCCAGAAAAATACACATACACACAGAATTCTGCATAAGATGTTAGGGGATTTGGAGGCCCCTTAAGTGATCCCCTATGCAAATGCTCCTTATGAGACCACGGACCACAAAGTAGTCCTTTGGTAACATGTAGATGAGAAATAGGGCCTGGAAGGGTAACTGATTTCCTCTGGTCAAAAAGAGTGACAGAGCTGAATCCAGACCCTGGTCTCTTGATCATTCCATCAAGTTCCTTTGTCTTGGCATTTCCTCTGACTGCTTCAAACCCAGCAGCTGAAATCTGATCATCAATTGGGCAAAAGTGAACAATCGAAGAAGTTGTGCTTTACACAAAAGCACTCTCAGGTTCCTGAGGTCACACCACTTAAACCCTTATTCATTGACAGTTCAATAGGCATAACACCTAATATTTTAAAACAACTTGAATATTCAACCTCTTTTTTACCTTCACAGTTCCTAAAGAGAAAATATACATCCTCATCCAAAACTTACCCGCTTCTCCCGGAGCGCTGGGCTGTCATCCCCAAGGGCAAGACGGGAAGCATGGGTCCGGAAGTCCACTAGGCCCAGGATCGGCAGGTACTCGTGGTTTAGGCTACTGTCGTTAGCTATCTTCTGCTCCACCTTCCTCACTACAGGCAAAACCCAGGGCTGGGAGTCATCTGTGCGATAAGCTGCAACAGGGGAAAGAGTTGTATAAAGGAATTGTCAGAGGCTTTGTCCAAGGGAGAGTTTGGAACTGTGAACAGAGAAAGTTCTACCACCATCCGATAAAAACTGAGCTGTGAGGGAAACTAAAGTTCAGTCGCTTACCGACTGCCCGCTGTGGGTGCTGGCAGTCAGTGAATGACTGAACTTCACCGGACTAGGTGCTGGGCAAGCAGAAGGACAAACATGGTTCCCATCCTTATGGAACTTATAGCTCTAAAATATATAACCACCAAAAAATAGAATGCTTCATAAAACTGGGACATAAGTCTGATCAAGTGAGAGAGTGCATGTGAAAGCCCTCGGTGAACTAAAACGATACAACACACAAATGCTATGTCAGTATCACTAGTACACTGAGGTCTCTATGGCCATTGGCTCAGCATCTGCTTCCTTCTGCATCTTCCCCAGGGATTTCCAGAAAACGGCTACACTACTTCAGGTGAATGCTGCACCTTCAAACATAAACAAGGATAAGGCAGGGGTAGGGGGTGGAAGGAGGCCCGCCCCCTCCTCTTGTCCTATGAGAGCAGAAATGGGACAAGTGACAAGCAAACACTTTGTGACTAAAGATCCCAACAACTGGTTACACAATCACCCAACAACCCCCTGAAACATATCGGTGTCCTCTGTGTTCTGACATCATTCAGTGTTTACCATCTTAACAGTTCTGCCCACTGCATGTGCTTCACACTTTTATTGATCTAAATGCATCTATTTCATAACATTTAATCTTGCTTACAAGCACATTTCTAAGCACTTCTACACCAACACTATTTTTTGTCCACTTTGAGTTATCCAGTCACCATTCTTCTTTCCCTATACTACCCTATGATTATTTTGGGATTACTGCTTTAGAGGGCAGCTGCTCAGGCTTGCACCCAAGCCAGCGATCCCTCTGAACAGAATCCCTGATGGGCCATCTGCCTGTCTGCTTGAATGTTTAAGGTATCGAACAAGCCTATACTTTTGCAAGTGACTTTGAAACTGGAAATCTTAGAGTAGTACTGATTAAGTTTTAGCTGGTTGATTTCTGTCCAATATTAATCCCTAACTTTTTTTTTTAAATCACTTTGTAGAGTGGTTGATACTGTTTACTGAAAAAGACATGTTGATTATAGAAAATTTAGAAAAGCCCAAAGATGGCAAACATTATGATTAACATGTAATCCCAGCATTTAGAGATAAGGAGTATGAAAATTTTGGTGTACAACCCTCTAAGCTATATTTCACATGAGTATATTCTTTTATAAAATATGGATCAGACTGTACACAGAATTTTCACATGCTTTTTTTCACTTATTAAATATATGAGTATCTTTCATCGCCGCTAACTATTCTTCTAATAGGTGGTATATTCGCATGTCCTCACCCCATCTTTATCATCCAGCTACCTAGTTCTAAACACCGTCCTCCATAAATAACAGCTGTTCCTAATTTCTTTTTGTAGCCTTCCAAAAGTTCCCTATGCACACACAAGCCAATACAGCTATTCCCCCCATCTTTTTACGCAAAAGGTGAGATAGCTTACTATACACTGTTTCATACCTTGCTTTTCCCACTTGAAGATCTTTTTCTATCTGTGCATAAAATGCCTTTGTTCTTTTTTACAGCTACAAAACTGTTGAATGCACCATAATTTGTTTTGCCAGTCTCTTGTTGATGAACATTTGAGTTGTTTCCAATCTTTGGCTATCATAAAATTTCAGTGAACAACCTTGTACACACGTCATCTTGCTTGTGTGCAAATATATCTGTTAGATGCAGGGTTGAAAATGGAAGAGTGAGCTGAGAAGTATGTGTATTTGTGGTTTTTGACAGAAATCCAAACTGGCCTCCATCAAGTTTTTATCAGTTTACAATCCTACCAGCAATGTATAAGACTGTCTGCTTCCCCACAGTATCACCCACTGAGTGATTTTTTTGCCAATATGAAGGTGCAAATAGAATCTCAGGGTAATTTTAATTTGCATTTCTCTTATTATAAATGCAACTGGGCATTTTCTTACATATATGAGCCATTTACAACACAATTTTAGTGGCTAAACAATACTGCTTTCTGTGTATAGTTTATTAATTATTTGTGTTGCTTTAGATTATTTGCTATTATACACATTGTGGTGAATATTTTTACTTCTTTACACATATTCATGAATGTTTCTTTAGAAAAAGTTTCTAGATGTAAAATTACTCGGTCATATGTTATATAACTAATAAGACTTTTATTAAGATCGTTTTGGTGTTACATCTGTTTTCTATCAACTAACTTTACCCTACAGGAATGTGTCATCTGCAAATGTGATAAGTATATCAAGCCAATAATAAAAATGTGGACATTGCTCCAAACTGACATACCCATTGATCAATCAACAGTCTCTGGGTAGATGGATCTAACTCCAGTGTTGTCATACCACTTACATTATACCCCTGGCTCACGAAACTAATTCCCTCTCAACAAGTTCAAAAAGCCTACTTTATCAGGTGGGATCTGGTCTGGCTTTTTAAAGAGATATAAAAATAACTATGTACTTCCAAGTAAGAGTTGTACCTTTTGCAATTGTTTTTAGAGGTGACATCTCATTATTTTGAGTATCTTAAATGGTGCCAAATCTTCATTTCGCTGGATGTAAATTTAATTTTTGGAAACGGTACTTCTATCGTGTCTAGCAAAGCAAGTGGGTGAATAAACTGAATAATATTAATGAAGAATTATAAAGAAATGATCTGTGTGCATCTAGGCCACCGCAAGACAGTTTTCAAAAACCTTTGAGCAATAGCAGTATATATGGACTACACTATACAGAGAGAATACTATTTAGATATATAAGAGTTTTGGAATTAAAAGAAAAAAATAGTTCTATTATGCCTTACTTCTATGTTTGGAGGTTATATATGTAATTATGCTACATATGTGATATTTATGATAAAGTCATTTGTAAATCATATATCCTAAATAAATAAAATACGAAAGATAAAGAAAAAGCCATAGTATTGCTCTTACCAGTACTGTACACTCTGTGCAACTCTAAGAAATACTGTAATACATCTTGTGTCAAGGAGGCAGCATGTCTATGTTGTGACAAAAGATAAATTAGCCAATTTATAGCTCCCCTTCCTTCTTTACTGCCCAGTTTCCGCAGGTTCACTTCCAGATGTATTCCCAATGCCTCGCCTAGCTGTCCTAATGAGGCAGAACTGCAGATTCCTCTTGGGTGACGGGAGTAACAAGGTTAAGCATTATCAACAACACTATTCCTGTTCTCCAGGGAATTTTATTTCTGTTTCTAGACCCATGAGCCTCTCATTCATTTCACAAGGACTTATTACTAAATCTACCATTCACCAGGCACTGGCTAGAAATCACAAAAGAGAGATGGATAAGAAAAAATAAGACAATGCCCTCCAGGAAACACAGAACATAGAGCTTTTCATTCTTCTGTGAGGGATCAGGAAAGATTTTCAATTTTACAGATGATGAAGTGTGAAATGATTTAAGAGAAGCTAGGAAAGAAAGGGCATTTTCGTCAGAGGGAACACCTGTGCAAGGTCCTGAAAGTTTGCAGAGATGAGGTGTTGGAGGGTCTGCATTTTCATGGCTGGCACGTAGGATCCATGGAGAAATAGCAAAGAGTAGCTCCAAGAGTCTTGGAATCTCTTCTAGAAGGAGCTTCATTTCACTGGGCAAACCACTGAAAGCACTGAAGCAAAGGAGTGGCAAGGACAGCTGCACATTTTAAGAAGATCATCTGAGTGATACGATAGAAAATAAACTGGAGAGGAGGACAGAGGTAGACAGTTAAGTCAGGAGGTTGCTGCAATAATCCCAAAGGAAAACAATGAGGTCTTTAACTAAGGCAGTGGCAGCAGGGATAAAGGAGAGAGAATTTAAAAAAAAAAAAAAAAGACTTATGATGTAGAAAAGACAAAAGCTAGTGACCAAGTAAACAGACATGGGAGCCAGGAAAGGGTGCCTGATGACTGAAAGTCTCTCTCTCTCTAGTTTGGATAATGACTGGTGATGGGGGGGTGGGGGTCAACCAAAACAGAGAACGTAAGGGGAAGAAAAAAGAAAAGGTTGGGGTGAAGGTGAAAATGATTAGTTGTGTTTTAAAACGTGCTGAATTTTGAGGTGGTTGTAGGATCGGTTCAGCAAACTATAGGAAGTATGGGTCTGCTGTTCAGGGAAGAAGCCCGGGATGGAAAGAAAGATTTTATAACTATAGACATTGACAGTAGCCAAAGCCACAATATAACAAGGACTTACTGAATACTTAGTACAATACATACAAGGCACTGTGCTAAATACTTTACATTTTTTTTTACTCTCAATTCTCATACCATCTCACAAAATAGATACTGTGTTCCCTATTTTGGGGATCTAGAAACTGAGACCAGAAAACTTAAATAATTTGCCCAAGATCATAAGGACTGTAAGAGCTAGGCTGTCAAACTATTAAGTCATGGATCTATGTGGGTTTTTTCTTTTTTTAAGAGCACAAGATGTCTAGAAAAAGCCCAAAGCAAGCAGGTCCCAGAGGACTGTGTGAGCGACCTTTTTATCAGCATGCTCCCACCTCTTAGCACCACCACCCTTCTCCCTGGGTATAAGCCCTTTTAAAAAGTCACCCAGGTTTCAGGTGAGTCCGGCAGTCTTGCTTTCCAGAAGAAAAGGAACATGATAGAGATTTAAATGATGAAACCATCACCCTCTCCTCCTCCTAAGATTTCCATTTCCCTCACCCATCCCCACCCTAAAGCCCGTACAGGTATGCCTCTAATGCCCTTCTCCACCTGGGGTCCTAGGGGGAGGTCCAGGGGTACTCAAACACCCAATAGAGCACATCTCTCTGTTTTATCTGAAGATGCCAGAACCCAGATTAAAAACAACAAATATTAAAGTTAAACACAGTTTGGAACAAGAGAAAACTGTTTACATAATAAACAAACTGAGTCTATGAAGAATGTCTTGTTTCAGGCTGCCTGAGGCTGGACCCATGTCTCCCTGGCCTTTAAATTTGTGAACCTTTGAGAAGCACTAGTAACAGTCAACTCTAGAGAGCATCAGACCTAACAGTGGGAAGTATCATGCTCTGCTCTAACTATAAGTTATGCAAATAGTCACAGCAAGAAGAAACTGAGGAAAAATCTGCAAGTAGCAACTAGCGAATGATATTACAGTTGCAATTTATTCTAAAAATGCCTGACATCACTAGAACTTGAGTTGGATAACCTCTATTGGGCTTTATCTTAACTTGGAGGGAAAAAGAGTATCTTCCCCAAAGGCTGTGATTAATTATATTTCCTTCACAAAGGATATACTATGAGGTGTGTATGGAGCAAGGACATACAAAAGCTGGAAAGAGACCTCTTATTCTACTCTACTCTCTTTAGACTCTTACTCAAGCACCTGCCATCCACAAAAAAGACAGGTCACAGTGATCATCAAAAGTAATGTTCATATAACACCTTTCATTTACATATCACATTTCACAAATAATTATTCATTTAATCCTCAGTCAACCGAAGATGCCAGTCAGATTAACATTATTATCCTACCCTACAGTCAGGTAATGTGCTAGTGAATCCTCGAGTAGCATTTTAGAGAAAGGTTATACCCACCCCGGCTCCTCATTTAATCAACTGAATCTGTTAGATAACCCACCCAAGGTCACAGCACTGAACCTGTGTCTAGGTCTCCTGGTTCTTCCCACTTCAGAGCACTGACGACCTCTGGAGCACCTCAAAGTACCCAAAACAGAGGAGGCGGCAGAGACCCATGAGCGTGAGAGACCTGGCCTGGAATCCCAGCTCCACACCACCCTTGGCCTTATAACCTGAGGCAAACTGCTTCATCAGTCTTGGCTTTAGCTTCCTTACGTCTAAAACAGCTATAGTTAACAATCCTACAGTCATTGTAAGCATTAAATGAGATTAAATGCATAGATCATTTGCTCATGGTAAGGAGGTGGAGTTCCTGGAAAACATGACAAAGGATGACTGTCACAGTTGAAGTGAACTTCTGAGATGCAGAGTACGTGTCTGAGTTAATTACTTCTGGCATGAGCACTTCGTTTCTGAACCAATGTCAGAAACTTTTTCACTTTGCAGCTCTTGAGCTGAAAATTTTAGTCAACATCTTTTATGTGACCCACCCCAAAAAATGTCAAAACAATAATAGTAATAACTAATTCTTACACAACGCCTACTTAGGTGCCAGAAACTGTTCTGAGCACTTTAAATGCAATGAATCCTCATAAAAACTCTGTAAGATGGTTCAGAAGCAACTGAGTCAATGATATCTGAGGTTTTAAAAAGATATACTTAGATCAACATCAATATTAGCTCTTCACTATATATCTGGCCCTAAGGAAACACTTGGAAGTTTTGGATTGGATTTAAACAGGAATTTGAATGGTACTCACTCCAAATCAATTCAAAGTAATCTTTCAATATTTCTCCCACTCTGCAGCTTGCTAAAAATATCACTTTCCCTCTGTGGGTGAATCCATGTAGTATTGACTTTAAAATGCTTTATTATAGAAAATTTCAAACATATACAAGATTGCAAGAATAATATAAAGGATAGCCATTATATGTACCTATTTCCCAGCTTCAACAAATTACCAGCTTCAGAAAAAACATCATTTTTAATGGCTTTTTTCTCATTCCTCCCCTATAATCTTTGGTGGACTTTTTAACGGGTCCGATGTATAGACACAAACAGTCACGGTGGGAAGCCTGATTCTGAACCTCCTCCCTTCTTGTCACCCTCTGCTACAAATCAGTTCAACTTTCTCCTTTCAAAATTGTTAGTCCTTTTACTCTAAGTCTGTTCTCTAATATAGCACATCACCCTACTCATGTTCTTCTTCCTGGTTGGTCTCTGTATGTGGTCAAGAAAGTGTCTGTGGAGTTTCAAACATCCAAATGATGGTGATAGAAATAAGAAATTAACCAGAGAAAATTAGAGTTAAAGGAATTTCACACGCACTTCAGTCCAAATCTCTTTCTTGGCAGAAGAGGAAAGCAGGTCCAAGCACTGAACTGTCCAAGGTCCAAGCAATACAAGAAAGAAAGAAAGACAAGGATGTGTGAAAAATGAGCTTCTAAAGTCCACAGGCTTTCCGCTCTTTTCCGCCATCTCTAATTCCTTCCACATTTCAGAGCCAGAACATTTTCCCCAGGTTCCCCCAGGAAGGATTAACCTGTCACAGAAGTGAATTCGATCTCTATTATCTCACTTCACATCTACTGATTTTAAACTGCTTGAGGCCAAAACCAAGCCTCAGTCTTCCCCCTTCTGCCCCAAGCCTTGGTGAAGTACCTGATTGATATTTAGTAGTCATTCAAATACTTACCGACTCAGAAAAGAGCTCCCTAGAGCTCCCTAGTCTTTTATCCACTTCCCATCGACCCCGACTCCAAGCCTATTAAGTCTTCCTATCTTCCTCCCTCTCCTTACAATCTCAAGCCGCCCCAATTCTTACTAAGCTAAAGGATGTACAATAAAGAACACAGAATGGGGGGGCTGGAAGAACTGAGTTTGTGTCCTGGCTGCCACACCTGTTCTGTGTGACCTTGGATACACCTCCCTTTTCCAGGGACTCATATACCCTGTAAAATGGGCAGGTTGAACTAAGCCTCGAAGATCTCGCCCCCTCTCCGGGCCACCCCAGCGCCAAGCTGGGCCTCGGCCTCTCCCACAGTCCCCACGGGCCCGACTTCGCTCCGCTCCCCAGGCTGCTCACACTCGGCACTGCATCTTTACCTCCCACTCCCAGGTTGACCTTGCGAGGGTCCGGATCCTCTCGGAAGTCGGCAGTGAGCTTAAAGACAAGGACAGGCTGAGCCTGAGGAACCTCTGCAAACACTGACGGAGGCGCCATGGCGAGACAGCTGGAGTCGGCCAGGAGCTCCCACCTCGAGCTTTACGCCGTTCGATTCAGTCTAGCGGCGCCGGCTGGAGGAGACTCTCACCTTCAACTACCCGGCGGGGCGGGCCCGCGGCGTCCAATTGTCAAGCCGCGTCCGGAGCTTGGCAACGCGGTTAACCTCTTGCGAGCTCCTGACGCAAAAGGAACACGAGGAGGAGATGTTATTAGCCAATCCAAAAAGGAATGATACAACCAATGCAATGTACTCTGGCTGAGATGAGGGCGGGGGCTATGGCTGATTGGCAGAGCGTGCTCCTATAGCTGAGGCCATTGTTCCTCGGGACTGAGGGGAGGAGCCGAGCGGCGAGCTTGTCCCGGCAGCTGCTTCATCGACCTTTTAGAGCTACCAGGCTAAGGAGAGGTGGCAGGAGGGAGTTATCGGGGATCGGCCTTTCGGTACCCGTAGAGCAGGTGTTCTCGCTGCCAGGCCCGGCAGTGCACACGTTCCTGACCCTGCCTGGCCCGGCCTGGGCTGGCAGCCAAGTCCCCGGGTCTGCGCTCGGCACGCTAGTTGTCGGGCCAGGACGTGCAGCTCCGGAAACTGCGCGGGCGACCTTGACCATCTGCACTCAGCTCTTGGGGGAAATGTGGGTGGGCTGCCTTCCTTGGCCTCAGAGGACATCTTACTAAAAGTGAGGGAGAGACCAGGAATTCCCTTCTGCCACTCTTAAAATTTGAGATTGTTGCTCCCATTTCCTTACGGAAAGGGTCTGGTCCTCAAGGACCTTCAGGCCTAACCTCTCCAGCATTCCTCCCATGCACGCACGTACTCAACCAGTTCCTGCGGTCCTAAACTGGCTGGTACCCAGACTGACTTTTCTTTCGGTCTGCCCCTTTCCCCTGAATATTCCTTCCTCCCCAGTCTCTCCCAACGCCGCCCCCCCCCTTCCTCCATCTGGCGACCTTTAAGACCCCAGATTAAATGCCTCCGCTTTAAAGTCTTCCCTTAACCCTCACTCTGGTCAAAATCTGTCTCTCCTTTGCTTCTGTGCCTGGTTAGTAATATTACCATTTTAGAAAGTGTCCTAATTAAGAACCTATGCCCTAGTTTACATTCTGGCTCTGCCATTCACTAATCTGGGTAGGTTTAGGCAAATTACTTGACCTCTCGGTTCCTACTCTGTAAAGTACGTAATAGTACTTTCCTCAGGGTTGTGGGGATTATGTGAGTTAATGCATATAAAGTGTTTTGTTGCATCTAGTGAGCACTCCCTAAAGGTTAGCTCTTGTTATTGCTCATCTGCCACACCCCTTGCAGATGGTAAGCTTCTTTTGGCTAGAGATCTTACCCTGCCTAAGTTTTCCTCAGTTTCTTACACTTAGTGAGTATTCAGTAAATGGTGGAAGGAGGAGCCTTTGGTGTGTCAGAAGAAAACAATACTTGAGCCTCTCTTCTTTGGGTAATAGGACAAATCTCCAAATGAGTTTTCCATTGGAAGTAATGAACACAAGCCAAAGAAACTTTGTGCAACACCTGCCAACCTTTGACTCCCTGCATCTTTTTGAAAATGTTGCCTCGGGTTTCGAAAGCAACTGCCCACAGTGTTTCATCAACAATGCTTTCCTCTGAGATTGCAAGTTTAAAGGTGAAATAATAATGAACCTTGGGTGTTTCCAAAAGCACAGGCAGAGGGCAACTGCTGATAGGGCTGTTCTATAGCCCATCCTCCAGCGTTTGATTTAGACATATGATCTTCACAGTGTTGCACAGCAATATCATGGTCGCTCCTTACGTCATTCCCTGGGGGAAAAACCACCCTAGGTTAGCTCAACATGATCAACCTAGCTAAGTCCAAATAAATATTTATTGACAACCTAAGCAGCTCCATTACCAAGGCAGGGCTGATAGGGACAAAGAAAGTGCCATATGCAAGCAGTTTTCCTCATGTCTCCATGATATCTGTTCTGAATTTTAGGGAGGGGCAAACAGTTACTGGGTGTGTGTGTATGTGGCAGGGGGAACAACATATAGGGGATCCAAGTCTCAAGATTTATTCCTTGGGAATATGAGTTTCTTGGAGATTAGGTTTTTTTCCTTTCTCAATACACCTTAATTTTTCTCTTCTTTTTAATTGAATTTATTGGGGTACAGGCTTCAAGTGTACAACTCAACAAACCATCATCTGCACACAGCATCATGCATCTACCACCCCAAGCAAAGTCTTCCATCCCCATTTCTGCCTCCCCCTTGTCCACCTCCACCTACCCCTCACCCTCCTTGCCCTCTGTTATCACCACACTGTTGTGATACATATTATGTATGTATTTTTGCTTAATCCTTTCCTTTCTTTCATCCAGTCCCTCAATTCCTTTCCCCTCTGACAGCTATCAGTCTGTCCCATGTGTCCATGCCTGTGTTTCTATTTTGTTCATCAGTTTATTTTGTCCACTAGTTTCCACATATAAGGGAGATCATGTGGTATTTGTCTTTCTCAGACTGGCTTATTTCACTTAACATAATAATCTCCAGGTCCATCCATGCTGTCGCAAAAGTTAAGATTTCCTTTTTTTTTTTTTTTAACAGCTGAATAGTTTGCCATTGTGTAAATGAACCATAGATTTTTTTTTTATCCACTCATCTACTGATGGGCACTTAGGCTGTTTCCTTGGAGATTACTTTAAATTCAGTACTATTGCATCTTGAGCCCTGCAGATTGTCTCTCGAAGCAAAATGCCAATCTTGAAATAAACAAAATGCTTCCCAGGCCATAGCTAATTTTAACTCTTTGACTTAGAATTGATGCAACACTGCCTCTCTGCTGAATGGATAATTCAAGCAAAAGACTCTTGAGAGGCCAACACTGCCCAGACAAGTAGGCAGCCAGGGAAAGTGAGGGTCCAGGAAAGGGGCAATAAGGGTGAGTAGAAAGATAGTCTGGTATTCTCCTTGCCTCCTGACTTTGCTCTTACTATCTGTTTAAGCATTTAAGAGTCCTCCCTACAGTTGCCCTTCTGCCTTTTTTTTTCCTTGTTCCTTCAAAAGAATTGTATGGGAGGAATGGGAACGGCTTCATCTGGAATGAATCTATTTAGAATATAACTTACTTGCAAATCTAAAGCCTTCAGGGATGAGCAGTTCTGCGCCATAGCATAAGAGGCAGGCCAGGGCAACAGTGAGCACTGCATGAACCTCTAAGCAAACCCACCCCTGCTTACTGTATTTAATCTTGCTCTTGATACCTAGAAGGTCTAAATTTAGAAACAAGTCATGGGAGGAAGGAGTTTTTCACACTTTGCATTCAATTGCAAAGTGGTTTTAAATGGTTATATTTGGGTGTGTGCTGTCACTAAAGGTAGGATATTATTTAGTAGCTGAGCTGTGTACTGTACAAATGTTTCTTTAAAAACCAAAGCTGTAGCTTCTAGTCCCAGGTGCTTCTGGAGCTGCAGGCTTTGGTGCAGATATGGCCGAGTTAAAGAAACACACCACGCACCGGTAGACCTGAAAATGGCACAGAAACAGCATCAAAAACCCCAATCACAAAGATACGAATCTCTTAAAGGGCAGACCCCAAGTTCCTGAGGAACATGTGCTTCAACAAGAAACACAACAAGAAGGGCCTGAAGAAGATGCAGGCCAACAGCACAAAGGCCATGAGTGCATGTGCTAAGGCCATCAAGGCCCTTGTCAAGCCCAGGGAGGTCAAAGGGTGACAACCACAAGCTCAATCTACTTGCCTACATCACCCACCCCAAGCTTGAAAAAGGTGCTCATGCCTGCATTGCCAAGGGTCTCAGGCCATGCGAACCAAAATCCAAGGCCAAGGCTCAAATAAAGACCCAGGTTGTGGCTGCAGTCTGGGCTCAGGCTCTAGCTGAGGCTCCTAAAGGTTCCCATGCTCCATGAAGGCTCCAGAGTAGAAGCTTCTGTCTGCTGATGTGAGGATGGAAGGGCCGGTGTGACCTCTGGGCTTCGGTCTGTGTGGGGCTGATCGCCTCCTCTGCTATTGGTGCAAATAAGCTTGAGGTGGGATCTGCTTAAATAAATAAATAAATAAATAAATAAATAAATCTGTAAGAAGAGATCTGTTCCAGAATCACTGTGTGGCTAAACAGTGAGTAATAAGATAAGTGTAGAGCTCCTACGTTGGTGTGGTTCTCTCACTGAATGAGTGACTGAATTGAGTGACTCTTGCTAAGGAAAGAGATTGTCTATCAATCCAATTGACTGGATTGTTTCCTGGGTGAGTTTTGTGTTTACTGGGTGTGTTTTGGTGGAACTATATCCTCTTCTCTTCCACTGCTTCTCTTCTCCCTTGTTTAAGTATGACTCCTTGCCCAGCCTGCACGCATGGATTGGACCAAGTGAGGGTATCTTGTTGCTTCCTATCTCATAGAAGGGTATGTCCAATAAAGCCTGGAGTGAACAGAGTCTAACATTAGTTCCTGAACTAGATACTCACATCAGAACATTTTTTTAAATCTCCTGAGACTCTTGTATAACAAAGATATCAACAGGATGACAACTATTGATGTCTTTATCTACTCTTTAAATGTTATTAAGTTCCAGGGCACCATTTAAAAATTGTTGTTCTATATAGTTACTTAAAAAGCAGTATAGCATAATGGTTAGAGCACAACTTCTGAGTCTAGATTGCTTCTGTATGCCTCAGTTTCCTCATCTGTAACATGGGGATAATAATAGTTCTATCTCATGGGGTTGCTGTGAGGATTAAATGCAAAGGGTGAGGATTAAATAATTTAATGCAGCATGCTCTGAATTGTGTTGTGTACTTAGTAAACACTCGGTATGCCAGCGGTCAGCTCCACCACCACCACCACCACCACCATCATCACAAATGTTGTTTACCAGCACTTGCCGTTGAGATTTATTTACCTTGTTTATTAAATGACAAGCTGCAGAGCAGAACAACACATATGCTTTGCACCTACTCTAGTTTTATCTCTTACTAGTTTTTGAAACCGCAAGTATGTATATGTCTGAGTTTTGGTATTCTTAACTGTAAATTGGGACAAAAGTTTTTTGCCTAGTGTTGACACACACGCCCTTACCACCGTGGTAGACATTGTTATTG